GCCTGAGGGTACTGCGACTGCTGGTGCGCGGTCTCCTTGGAGTGGCCGCCTTCGTCCGCGTACGCCTCTCACCTCACAGCAGCTGCACGAGTGGTACGGTCGCCGTTTGGGTCGCGCTGCTGGAGCTCGGGGCTCTACTGCTGGAGGTACTTCTGCTGACGTCACTGGAGCTGGGAGTGGTGCTGGTTCTTTACCTGCTGGAGGTGCTGAGCCTGGAGGTGCTGAGCCTGTATGTGAGGAGACTGGAGGTGCTGTGCCTGGGGGTGCTGCGTCCGGGGGTGCTGAGCCTGAGAGTGCTGAGTCTGGGGGTGCGGCGCCTGCGGGTACTGAGACTGCTGGTGCGCGGTCTCCTTGGAGTAGCCGCCTTCGTCCGCGTGCGCCTCTCTCCCCGCAGCAGCTGCACGAGTGGTACACTCGCCGTCAGGGTCGCGCTGCTGGATCTCGGGGCTTTACCGCTGGAGGAGTTTCTTCTGTCGTCGCTGGAGCTGGGAGTGGTGCTGTGTCTACAGGAGGTGCTGGAGTCGCTGGTCCCGGAGGTGCTCGTACTGGAGGTACTGGAGCTGCTGGGGCTGGAGGTGCTGCGTCTGGGGGTGCTGCTGCTGGAGACACCGAGGCTGGAGACCCTAGGACTGGAGCTGCTGGTTCTGGGGGTGATACTGCTGGTGGTGCTGGCGCTGGAGGTTCTGGAGCTGCTGGAGGTGCTGGAGCTGCTGGAGGTGCTGGAGCCACTGGAGCTGCTGGAGCTGCTGGTGCTGGTGCAGCTGCGCCGACTCGACTGTTCTTCGCTCCGCCGTCTCCGTCATCTCTGCCGCCGCCTGACTCTGTTCTTCGTCAGGTTCTTACCCTTCCGTCGTCTACTGGTCTTCGATTACTGCCTGGCTCACCGCTCCCTGCTCCTCCTCCTTACACTGAGCAGCCCGGTGGTCTTGCTGAGCGTTGTGAGCCTGCGTCGCGTCCTGTCTCGCCTGTTCGTCCTGGTCGTTCCGGTCGTCGTGTTCCTCGTTCGCGTCAGCCGGCTGTCCCCGGTACACACCTCGTAGTCCGTCGTCTTTCCTCTGCTCCGCAGCCTGTTCCTCTGCCTTCTCCCCCTGCGTCCTCTCTGCCTGACGTTGCGGACCCTGAGTCTGACCGCTTTCGTGCTGCACACCCTACTGTCACGCGTCTGTTAGCCACAGTTGTCACTGACCCGTCGTTTGAGTCTACTGCTGCGTCTGCCTTGGTTGCTGAGCTTGTTGACTTTGCTGCTGCCTGTCGTCTAGACTACGCCGCTAGTCTTGTTGCTGAGTCTGAGTCTGTCTGTCCTCCGTCCGTCGGGGGTGAGTGTGCTCTTGGCACGGACGTCCTTGAGGACAGGCACGAGGACCTTGAGTGTCTTGCAGCCGCTGCGCCTCATCTCGTGGCCATGCTGCTTGCCCCTGAGGGAGACCCGGATGCACCAGACATCCCGACCCCGCGCTCTTACGCTGAGGCGATCGCGGGTGAGTACTCCTCTCAGTGGCAGACAGCCATGGACGCAGAGATGGCATCCTGGAAGTCCACAGGCACTTACGTCGATGAGGTTCCCCCCCCTGGGGCGAACATCGTCGATGGCATGTGGATTTTCAGGGTGAAGCGGCCGCCGGGTTCTCCGCCTGTCTTCAAGGCTCGTTACGTTGCTAGAGGCTTCAGTCAGCGTGAGGGAGTTGACTTCTTCCAGACCTTCTCCCCTACCCCGAAGATGACCACTCTTCGGGTGCTGCTGCACGTTGCCGCTCAGCGTAACTACGAGCTTCACTCTCTTGAATTCAGCACAGCCTTCTTACAGGGCAGCCTGCACGAGGAGATCTGGCTGCGTCGCCCACCTGGCTTCACTTGGTCGTTCCCTCCTGGTACCCAGTGGAGCCTCCGCCGGCCAGTCTACGGTCTCCGCCAGGCGCCCCGTGAGTGGCACGACACATTGAGGACTACACTTGCGGCTCTTGGGTTCGCTCCTTCGACCGTTGACCCGTCGTTGTTTCTGCGCACCGACACTTCACTGCCGCCGTTCTACATCCTCGTGTACGTCGACGACTTGGTCTTTGCCACTGCTGACACTGAGGCTCTCGCTCTGGTTAAGTCGGAGCTGCAGAAGAGACACACGTGCACTGACCTGGGTGAGCTGCGCAGCTACCTTGGCTTGCAGATCACCCGGGACAGAGCACGCCGCACCATCACACTGACTCAGTCACACATGGTGCATCTTCACCTGGTCCTCCCCACAGCCCACTCCGCTGGCTACAGGTCATTCGCTCTCAGCTCCACCTTCGGACGAGTCCGTAGAGTCGAGTGGTCCTTACGCAGAGCTAGTGGGCTGCCTCATGTACCTGATGACCTGCACTCGACCTGACCTCGCGTACCCTCTTGGCCTTTTGGCTCGCTACGTGGCTCCTGGTCGGCACTGAAAGGTGCACATGGATGCTGCAAAGAGGGTACTGCGCTACTTGTGCAGTACATCAGGCATGGGGCTCGTGCTTGGAGGACGGAGCGACGTTGTCCTCACTGGACACTCTGACGCGTCTTGGGTTGACGACCAGGCTACGCAGCGGTCGTCACAGGGTTACACCTTCAGCCTTGGCTCTGGCTCTATTTCTTGGCGGTCTACATGCTCGTCTTCTGTTCTCAGCTCCAGTTGTGAGGCTGAGATCTACACCACAGCCATGGCTGCACAGGAGTTACGCTGGCTCACCTACCTGCTGACAGACTTGGGAGAGAGGCCTCGTTCTCCTCCAGTTCTGTACGTCGACAACAAGGCTGCCATTACCTTGTGTCAGGAGCACAGACTGGAGCACAGAACGAAGCATATCGCTCTGCGTTACTTCCTGGCTCGAGAGTTGCAGCAGCGTGGTCAGCTTTGTCTTGCTCACGTGGCCACCAGGGCCAACACTGCTGATATCTTCACCAAGGCACTTCCGTCTGGTGATCATCAGTGCTTTTGTACTTTGTTGGGCCTTGTGCCTACGTTTCCACACTTGCTGTAGACTTTGCTTGTACTGTGATCTATACATATATACCTGCATGCTTGCTCTTGCTAGATAGTGATCACTGCTTTGTTGTTGCTGCATATATACCTCTGCATGTGAACTGGCCTTGTGGCCCTTTGCTTGTGCTCAGTGTGTGTGGTGACGTTGTGATCCACCCTGAGTTTGCTTTGCTTCTCTTGACTGGTCGTGTGACCCTTTGTTCTCCCCCACTTTGCCTACGGGGGTGTGTCAAACTATATGGGTTATCTTTGTGTAGGCTGTAGTGGGGTAGCCAATATGGGGTACATAACTGCTAGGGTTTCATACTTGTACCCAACTCTGTTCTAGTTCAATCATTCCTGTCTCTAGTTTCTGACATCACTCTCACAACCGTGCCCTCCCGTTGTAGTAGTTATCTCCACATTACCTCCCTGAATGCATCACAAGGCTAGGCTAGTTAGAGTTGTAAAGCATTGTTGGAAATTTCTTGTTAAGACTAGACATGCGGAGGGAAACATTGTAATCCATGATATACTTAGGGTGCATTTGGGATGTGACCAGGGCCCAAAATTGGTTTTGGCCCACCCTGTCAAATCAGAGTTCCAGGGTGGGCCAACCCTGACTCCTAGGGTAAGAAATATCGTACACTGATGGAAACAGGGTAAAAAAAAACCTAAAGCTGATTATGCTTGAAACTAATCTAAAAGTAAACCGATTCATTGGCAGTTGAAGTGTCTCAGCTAGTTAGAGGTGTTGTTGCTATTGGGAAGGTCGCGCTTTTGATGCTCACTTGCGGGAATTACCAGAGTTTACTGTTCGCTAGTGCTATTTTGCGCAACATCCACCGTATACTCGCTACGAAAGACTCGGTATCAGTGTAACAGGATTAAAACACTGATGAAAGTCAGGGGAAACAATCGCCAACTCGGATTTTATAAGGGTACAAAAATTCAAACTCTATTCGAGTTAGAGTAAAAAATCCGGGAGGCTGACTGGGTCAGGGTAACCCCAAAAAAAGCGGTCGCCAATCAGGGCAATCAAGGTATTTTACCCTGACATTTTGGCACCTGGATGTGACATGTCCGAGATCCGTAGGAAGATACCCTGAGATTAAAGACAATCATACTACTTTAGTCTTATAAAGTGAGGGCCCTGCTCTAGATAGAAGCGCACCTAGGCCTGCGCTTATAACCGGGGGGCTGTATGGTATATGCGGGGGGGAAACGGTGTGCAGAAGATTACAAAACTTTTCTTCGTTTGCTTTCACAATACAATCATCTCATAGAGCCCTGGCCGTGCCACCACCAGCAGCGCCACACACATACACTCAGTAAGGAGCATAAGCTCAGTTGTGTTGGGGACGCTGCTCAAGATTTGTATATTATTTACGTAGTGCAGAAGCAAAGGGCCGGTCTGGTCAGATGCTGCTGCAAGTACCAATTCGGGCCTTTTTTGCATTTGGTGTGCAAATCTTGACTCCAGGCGTTAATCTGTCCACACACTCATACCCGTTCATTCGCCGGTAGCAGCCCTTGATGCTGTAGAAGTACTTAACATTGATGTACTTGCAGTTGTCCCCTGGTGAGATGGTGTACGTACTGGTTCTGGAACAGATGCCTGCTGTGAAATTGGTGACGCTGCCAATGCACACCTGCAGGCACAGGAGAGATAGTGAGAGAGGCAGTTTAGGAACAAGGGGCGGACGATTTTGTGTCAAACTTTAGACCTTCCAACCAACTTGGTTTGGTTGATTCACTCAGTCACCAAGCTTGGCTGACTCACTCAGTCAGCAAGCTTGGCTGATTCACTCAGCCACCAAGCTTGGCCGATTCACTCAGTCAGCAAGCTTGGCTGATTCACTCAGTCACCAAGGTTGGTTGTATCTTGAGACACTTCTCCGACCTTGAACCACATTGCTGAAACATACTAATGCATGCACCCCAATGCATGCACCACACTGCATGCACCACACTGCACGCACCACAATGCATGCACCACACTGCATGCACCACAGTGACTGACCTCAGCACCAAAGGTGGTGGCGGAGCGCGAGTAGTTTTTGAGGGGGATGAGCTGGTTGCAGTTGACGCCGGGGTTGAGGCGGTAGAAGTCCACGGGGCTGAGAGGAGGCTCCGCCAGCTGCCTGATGCTGTCGCACGTGTCGCTCAGGCGCGCCCGGTAGTACTGGTCGCACACCACTGTCACATTCGCCTTGGCGGGGTCCCTCTCCAGGCACACGGCTTGGGAGGGGCTCAGGGAGGAGCAGTTGACAGCGGGGTTGAGCGCCTGAAATGCCGCCTCACACTCCGCATCCGACGCCGCCGCCCCACACAGCTCCACCTGCCGCGCCACCCCCGTGCACGTGTCGCCCTGGGGGACCATGGAGAGGTGGAACGACGCCACACAAAGACATCTGAATTTAGCAGGATTTCGAAGTGGAACGGCCAATCCAGAATGAACTAGTGCAAAAAAGACATATGATCTTCGTGCACAAAGTGGATCAAACCTCGTGCTGAAAAGAGCATCATAGGTCAGAAAATAAGTTGCACGCTGGATCAAAGGTTTGAAACGGATCGTGGCTTAGTGTGCAGTGGAGCAAACATGCTTGTAGTGAGCTGTGCTGTGTGCACTGTGTGCTGTGTATGACTTGGAGCGCTTACCTGCAGTGTGGTGTAGAAGACAGAGCATGGTTGCACTGTGGAGTTGACGAGAAGGGTTGAGTTCAGGCGCAGAGGAGCAGAGCAGGCGATGCCCTGTGGGGCATTCAGGGGGTTGATGGTACATGCAGGGGATTATGGCAGATGAGATTAGGATAATGCCTGGGCTATCATAAGCATATAACTACTTGAACGGCCTCTCAACATGGCTGCATGGCATTAGTGCGGCACAAAAACATCTCCACCAGTCGGTGGGGGCACGTCACCTTGTTCTGCTGAATGAACTGGGCCAGTGTGAGGGCGAATATGGGATGCACATGGGAGCACCACACGTTGCTCTGCTGCACCGTGTACACCCCCCCTGCATCCCCTGCACCACACCGCCACTCACATCAAATTTCCAGTCCGACCAAGGCAGTGGCACACAGGAGCGGAGCATGAGATGCGATTAAAACGAGAAGAAATGATACAAAACGGCTGCATGCACGGGGAAAATTTCGTACCCAGCAGGAGAGCAGTTACCAGTGAAGGGTTGTTACCCGGAGCACAGGAGGAGAGCAGCAGAGGGGTGTTACCCGGAGCACAGGAGGAGAGCAGCAGAGGGGTGTTACCCGGAGCACAGGAGGAGAGCAGCAGAGGGGTGTTACCCGGAGCACAGGAGGAGAGCAGCAGAGGGGTGTTACCCGGAGCACAGGAGGAGAGCAGCAGAGGGGTGTTACCCGGAGCACAGGAGGAGAGCAGCAGAGGGGTGTTACCCGGAGCACAGGAGGAGAGCAGCAGAGGGGTGTTACCCGGAGCACAGGAGGAGAGCAGCAGAGGGGTGTTACCCGGAGCACAGGAGGCGGTGTTGGCGAGGGTGGTGCCCTGGATGAACCCCGGCGGACACACACAGGAGTAGCTGCCCTTGCCATCGTTCACACACGTGCCCACCACACATGGGTTGCGACTGCTGGACCCACACACGTCCACTGGGGGCGAGGGGAGACAAGTGGGGACAGCATGGGTTGATAAATGAGTTTGGACAGAGGGCGTTGGGCCGTGCCTTGGGAGGGCGTCCTGTGGGCGTGGGAATTTTGTGAGTGAACAAGCATAAGAAAAGGAAAATGGGTATGATTATGATATGGGTGCACAGATAGGCATGGGGGAAATCGACCAGGTGCAGGTATGAAGGCTAGCAAGTGGAGATGTGCTTTTCAAAATAGTCCACCGGCAATACGAAGGGAAAGACTCTACAGTAAGGCCGAACCCAATACTCTCTAAAGAGCAGATTCACTCGATGCACTAGTCCTAAACTTCAGTGCGCATGCACACATCACCAGTGTTACCATAGGCACAGGTGTAGGACCCATCGGTGTTCTTGACTTCAGCGAAGCGGGCGTCAGTGCACTTGCAGCGATTGCTGGTGCCCTTCTTGCTGCAGTTGAACCGCCCACACGGGTTGAAGACGCCGGAGTGTTGGTTGCTGTACTGGAAGGAGCGTGACCCACATGGATCAGCACTGCCTGCTCGACACACCAGGTGGGAATGGGGTGTGGGCAGACGTTAGATGCACAAGGACCAAGGTATATCCACCAGCCGTGAGAACAGGGACGCAAAAAACGACAGAAAAACAATCAGCCTCACTTCTGACGACGGGGAAGAGGCCCGGGAGAGTGTTGATGCCGCAGATGCCGTCGCCACTGCGAATGTCCATGCGCATGTGGCCCTGGTCGCCCCACCCTGTGCCCCATGAGTTGCGGATGATCCAGAAGGGCGGCGGCACGGCAGAGTTGGAGTCGATGGCTGCAGCGAGGTAGCCCACCACCAGCACCACGTGGTTCAGGTGGTTGCTGAAACACTCCTCGTCCGCGTACTTGCCTCTCTGCCCACACACACCAGTACACACACGCACACATACACACACACATATGCACACACAGAGACACTCAAAGAGACGCACATACACATGCACACACGCACGCACGCACGCACCCATGCGCGCCACGACCATATATGATGAGCTGGCAGTGCAACAGGGCACAGCACACAGCAGTAGGTGCGTGCAACAAACAAGAGGAGGGTGCCTTACCCCATCGTAGTCTTGGAAGGAGGGTGCCTTACCCCATCGTAGTCTTGGAAGGAGGGTGCCTTACCCCATCGTAGTCTTGGAAGGAGGGTGCCTTACCCCATCGTAGTCTTGGAAGGAGGGTGCCTTACCCCATCGTAGTCTTGGAAGGAGGGTGCCTTACCCCATCGTAGTCTTGGAAGGAGGGTGCCTTACCCCATCGTAGTCTTGGAAGGAGGGTGCCTTACCCCATCGTAGTCTTGGAAGGAGGGTGCCTTACCCCATCGTAGTCTTGGAAGGAGGGTGCCTTACCCCATCGTAGTCTTGGAAGGAGGGTGCCTTACCCCATCGTAGTCTTGGAAGGAGGGTGCGGACGCCTCGATGTGCACAATGACAGGCTGCCGCTGCACTGCCAGCATGAGCCCAAACCACCCGTAGAACCCCGTGCGCTCGATTCCGCGAATGCCATAGTACTTGGGGATGCTCTCCTGCATGCAGGGAGGAGGCATCAACAGAGGAGCAATAGGAGGGTGAGAGACGGTGGGCCATCATGTGAGAAGCATGGTAACAAAATTACATTGAGCTGAAACACTAACAAGCCAAGTGCAGCAGCAGCAGCAGCTCACTTATCAGCGATCTCCCCTTGAGGAGAAGCTCCTCCAGCGAGTACGCTGCGTCCTCCAGCAGCCCCTTGCCCTGCGCGGTGGTGCAGCAAAGAAACTCACCAACGATCTCCTTCTAAGAACCAGCCCTTGGGAATACACGGCGTCCTCCAGCAGCCCCTTGCCCTGGTTGGTGGCGTTGAGGAGAAACTGCAGTGCCTTGGTGGGCGAGCCACCGTCGCAGTTGGAGGAGAGGGCGAGGCGCAGATGCTCCACCGACAGCACGGGGGGCTGCGCCCAGTTGCCCGCGATGCTGTGGGCCGCCTCCACTGCTGCTACCACTGCGTATGCCCAGCAATCTCCTGCGGAAGATTGGCAAGGTGGAAGGGCATGGTGCATGACGGTACGAACGACCATGAATATTTCTCCCTGCAAGGCTGCATGTGGCTGCCGTGGCTCATTCAGTTCTCTCATTTCAAGAAATGTTGCATGCACCTCATCCCAAATTTCAACTCCAAGCCATACCTTGCATGCATCTATCCTGCTGTCCATCCCATGTGGCCATACGACTCACCACAACCCCGTTGGTTCTTGACAGGCCACATGGCCTCGGGCAAGACCCAGGTGCTGTAGGACTTGAGAGTCCAGGCGGGGCTGTTGTCCTGCGCGGGGTCGAAGCCCGCACTGGCATAGTGGAAGGCGGTGTTGAAGCCCTGCGATGAGAAGGAGTCCTCGTCCAACACAAACCCCAACGCCAGGTCTGGTGGGCGGAGGAAGGAGGGGTAGGAGATATGAGGGCTGGGAGTTGAGAAGGGACAACGGTGTGAAGACTGAAGAGGAGAAAATACTGATAGGAATGGACTCACACACGGCGACAGGGAATGCAGGCCAAGCATACTCACTTGAAGGGTCAAAGAGCGGCTTGAGTGGAAGATCTGAATGCACAAGAGCCAGCCAACCACATAGATAGATAGAGTGGCACAGAAGCAAGCAGTAACAAAGGCAATAATGTGGAGCCATGATCCGGTTGCATGCAGAAGATGTGGAGAATCACTCTACAAGGGGTGCCGGACTTCGTTGGAAAGCATGGGGTTGTATGGTAGTTTTGCTTGTGTTCACTGAAGTCGGCCTCGCCGAAGTCGGCTTAGCCGTGGCCGGCTTCGCTCAAGTCGACTTCGCCGACATCGACAAAGATGAAGTCAGCTCCGCCAAAGTCGACCTCACTATGCGAACTTCGCCCGAAGTCGGCATCGCCAGGTCGGCTTCACCAAAGTCGGTTAACTGCTGAAGTGGGCCAACCACAAGCGAGGGCGGGGCCTTACCTTGTCAATAGAAGACAAGAGGAGTGGGACTGGGTCAAGTCTCAATTCAATGTAGTGAAGCGTGTGCATGCCTTAGTTATGGAAATATTAATCTTAGGTCCAAGACATGTCATTACAGCAGTTACAGCCCCAACATACAACGGTTTATATACAGTAACTGCAACAGGGCCGGGCCGGCCCGGGTCGGGCCGGGCACGGCCTGCCCGCCTTAAGGGTGGCCCGGGCCGAGAGTTCCCTTAGACGGCTCGGGTCGGGCCGGGCAGGCCCGGCCCGGTTTCTTCCGCCGCCCGGGGTGGGCCCCACCCGGGCCGGGCCCAGCCCACCCAGTGCTCATCCCTAGTGGAGTGTGGACATGTCATGGAAAGTGCAGCTGCCGAGAGTTGAACCCACGGCCTCTAATTTCAAAGGTGAGAATTTATCTACTGGGACACTATGTTGCAAAAGACGCGTCCAGCGTCTTAGACGTTTGCGTCCAGACGCAGCGTCTAAGACGCCAAACGCGCGTTTTGGGCAGGTGAGACGTTGGAAAAGACACAAGCCCGGGCAGGCAAAAAAAGTACGGGCAGCCAAAAAACCTTGTATGGGACTTGGGGAGGGGGGGGGGGGGGGGGGGGGGGGGTTGTATGGATGTAGATCACATTTGAGGCCAATTTTTTTTCCCCATACACAAATTTCACACGTCTCATCGTATCACATCACACATGGTCCAGACTGGGATGAGCACGGGGGCGGGCTGGGCCCGGCCCGGAAATGCCCCAGGCCGGGCCTCAAATTTTGGCTGTCGGCCCAGGGCGGGCCGGGCCGCCTCGATGCGCGGCCCGGGTCGGCCTGTTTTGGCCCGCCTATTTTCCCTGCGACAATCTCGTCATCAACGTTTACTTATAAGCTAACTAAGTGCTCGTCGAGAAAACCGTGGGAGTTGATTACGCTGTCGACTAGATCTCAGGCCAACAAGCGCGGCTAGATCTGGTCGACCTGGGTTAGAAATTGATGGACTGGTTGGAAATTCTAGATTCAATGCGGTGAAATGCGGTCGTTGTATTTTGTTGGCATAATTTGAGATTTGAGTCAATTTCGTCAGATCTCAATCACGCTGAAATTTGACCCCCCCCCGACAAATGTCACACAGTCACAGGGGCCAAAATTGAGCTGCGCGACAGTTTGCGCACGCTCTAACGCAAGCTCGCCCCTAGCTTCTCACCATATATCTAGATCTCACCAAGCTCGTTTTCCTAACTTATAGTCTATCTCTCAGTAGTTCGTGTTAGTTTACCGTTCTAAAGTAACGGCTAGATCAAAGGGTGATGTAATAGTGTGTTTGAGCTTATATTAGGTTTAAATTCAAGGAATTCCGTTTTCAAAAATCATGTGAGACTCTATTGAAAGTGCATCCGGGCTGGGCCCGGGCCTTGCTTGGCTCGGGTCGGGCCACCCTGGCCCGAGTACAAAATGGGCGGGCTCGGGCCAGGGACTTGGTCATTCGGCCCAGGTCGGGCTGGGCCAGGCCCGGCCCGGATTTTTGCCTGGCCCGGCCTGGCCCGACCCGGGCCGGGCGCTCAACCCTAGGTCCTGTAACCAAGTCACATGGTTTGTGGGCTGTTTTTCAAGGTCGAAATGGGTGGGAGGGGGTCGAGATTTTGCGAATTCGACTTTCGCGACGAAATCGCGAAAGTCAATTTCGCGCGCTCGTCTGTATTTTTTCCGGGCTGCCCGATTTTTTTTTCCCCCAAGCGTCTTGCATCTTGGCGAGCGTCTTCTGCAACATAGCTGAAACATACTTGCTGCTGCACAACACACACGCAAACTTGAACGAGTCTTTGCAACGCTGCGATCACCCCGTACAACCTCGTAGCCTCACAAGTAGTCTAGCTACTGTTGTAGAGTGACTCTTCGCTAATGATTCACACATCCTCGACTAAACCTTATTCTTCGCAACCTGTTTGGCTTGGTATTTGGCTCTATACCTTTTCAAAGCACAAACTAGTTACATTTCATCTACATTCTAGAATGGTACGAGAAGGTGAACGACCAATACATACATAACTAAGAGCATTCTGATCATTCTCTGTTCAACCAAAAACACCGACAATAGCCCACAATTTTGCGAAGATTTAACTAATGAGAGGAAGACACAGGAGTAGTATAATGAAACATGCCAGCAATGAAAACAGTCAACGGCCATTAAGTTTCTTTTGTCAAGGCACATACCTGAGAGGCATACACCTGAGAGCTGCATACCTGCAGTGAAGGTCCAGTTGAGGACGGAGTGTGCTTGTGGGGCAGTGGTGGACGAGGCTGTGAAGCCGACGTAGAATGCAGCAGTAGACGCCTTGGGCTGCAGGAGGGAGCAGAGCGACACTCGAGCGCGAAGGGTGGGGGTGAGGGGCTGCTGGGGGTCGGAGGAGAGGAAGACTCGGAGGGTGCCGGCGCTGGTGGGGTCGTAGTGGATCCAGGCGTGCTTGGTGTGGGCGTCGTTGAGGATGAGAGGGGCCGTGGCAGAGGCGAGGGACACAGGTGAGCCGCCCACATTGACGCCCACGTGGTTGTCGTTGGGGTCGCTGTGCTTCACACTCAGCACCGAGTCAAACTCCACCGCCACACTCCGCTTCCCCACGCCTCCCAGCCGGTCTGGCAGCGCCGCACTGACGACAAACATGAGCCCATCCCCACCCGCCTCTGAGTCTGGGTCGAGGGAAAAAGCCAGAGATGTGTTGAAGGCGAGCTGGTAACCGCATGTGGCCTTGGTGTTGAAGTAGGAGAAGAGGGGGAGAGGCGCGGCTGTGAAGGCCGTGCCCCAGGTGGCGTTGGCCTTGGGGGTGAGCAGCAGCGCGCCATCAGCAGAGCGTTGTGCTGTGCCATTCAGCACCATGGGCGTGGCTACAGAGGAGACCACCACAGGGTCGACTGGAGGGGAGAAAGAGAAGAGGACGGGAAGAGGGAGATATGGAGCGGGAAGATGGCTTGGTGCACAGATGATGGCACAGTGTTGATGGTGCTCGAGTGGATGATGCAAAACGCCATTCTGTTCTTGGCATTTGCTCATGCATTCCTCAGCTTACTCGTGTACGTGCATGTATAGGGGTCGTTGCGAGTGGAGTAGTGCTCCTCACACACACACTCAGCGCTGCTGCTGCTGTCATTCTTGAAGCAGTACCCATGCCCGCTGCACAGCACCCCGCCCTGCCCCACCCCACAGAACGCGGCGCAGCTCTCCTTGCTGCGCTGCTCGTGGGCGAGCCCACAGAGGGCGGTGGTGGTGGTGGGGGGCAGGCAGTTGTCGTAGAGCCAGAGGCGCACAGTGGAGCAGTTCTTGGGGCGCGTGGGGCCGGAGGAAAAGTAGTTGCTCTGCACGTCCACCAGCTTCAACGCCTTGGAGGCTGGCATGGGCACGGCCCCCGTAAACTGGTTGGATGACACGAGCCTGCAGGCAGCGATGGGGATGGGGATGGTGATGGTGATGGTGATGGTGATGGTGATGGTGATGGTGATGGTGATGGTGATGGGGATGGGGATGGTGATGGTGATGGGGATGGGGATGGTGATGGGGATGGTGATGGGGATGGGGATGGTGATGGGGATGGTGATGGGGATGGTGATGGGGATGGGGATGGGGATGGTGATGGGGATGGTGATGGTGATGGGGATGGGGATGGGGATGGGGATGGGGATGGGGATGGGGATGGGGATGGGGATGGGGATGGGGATGGGGATGGGGATGGGGATGGGGATGGGGATGGGGATGGGGATGGGGATGGGGATGGGGATGGGGATGGGGATGGGGATGGGGATGGGGATGGGGATGGGGATGGGGATGGGGATGGGGATGGGGATGGGGATGGGGATGGGGATGGGGATGGGGATGGGGATGGGGATGGGGATGGGGATGGGGATGGGGATGGGGATGGGGATGGGGATGGGGATGGGGATGGGGATGGGGATGGGGATGGGGATGGGGATGGGGATGGGGATGGGGATGGGGATGGGGATGGGGATGGGGATGGGGATGGGGATGGGGATGGGGATGGGGATGGGGATGGGGATGGGGATGGGGATGGGGATGGGGATGGGGATGGGGATGGGGATGGGGATGGGGATGGGGATGGGGATGGGGATGGGGATGGCGATGGTGATGGTGATGGTGATGGTGCTGGTGATGGTGATGGTGATGGTGATGGTGATGGTGCTGGTGATGGTGATGGTGATGGTGATGGTGATGGTGATGGTGATGGTGATGGTGATGGTGATGGTGATGGTGATGGTGATGGTGATGGTGATGGTGATGGTGATGGTGATGGTGATGGTGATGGTGATGGTGATGGTGATGGTGATGGTGATGGTGATGGTGCTGGTGATGGTGATGGTGATGGTGATGGTGATGGTGCTGGTGATGGTGATGGTGATGGTGATGGTGATGGTGATGGTGATGGTGATGGTGATGGTGATGGTGATGGTGATGGTGATGGTGATGGTGATGGTGATGGTGATGGTGATGGTGATGGTGATGGTGATGGTGATGGTGATGGTGATGGTGATGGTGCTGGTGATGGTGATGGTGATGGTGATGGTGATGGTGATGGTGATGGTGATGGTGATGGTGATGGTGATGGTGATGGTGATGGTGCTGGTGATGGTGATGGTGATGGTGATGGTGATGGTGATGGTGCTGGTGATGGTGATGGTGATGGTGATGGTGATGGTGATGGTGATGGTGATGGTGATGGTGATGGTGATGGTGTGGTGGTGGTGGTGGTGGTGGTGGTGTGGGTGATGGTGATGGTGATGGGGATGGGGATGGGGATGGGGATGGGGATGGGGATGGGGATGGGGATGGGGATGGGGATGGGGATGGGGATGGGGATGGGGATGGGGATGGGGATGGGGATGGGGATGGGGATGGGGATGGGGATGGGGATGGGGATGGGGATGGGGATGGGGATGGGGATGGGGATGGGGATGGGGATGGGGATGGGGATGGGGATGGGGATGGGGATGGGGATGGGGATGGGGATGGGGATGGGGATGGTGATGGTGATGGTGGTGATGGTGATGGTGATGGTGATGGTGATGGTGATGGTGATGGTGATGGTGATGGTGATGGTGATGGTGATGGTGATGGTGATGGTGATGGTGATGGTGATGGTGATGGTGATGGTGATGGTGATGGTGATGGTGATGGTGATGGTGATGGTGATGGTGATGGTGATGGTGATGGTGATGGTGATGGTGATGGTGATGGTGATGGTGATGGTGATGGTGATGGTGATGGTGATGGTGATGGTGATGGTGATGGTGATGGTGATGGTGATGGTGATGGTGATGGTGATGGTGATGGTGATGGTGATGGTGATGGTGATGGTGATGGTGATGGTGATGGTGATGGTGATGGTGATGGTGATGGTGATGGTGATGGTGATGGTGATGGGGATGGTGATGGTGATGGTGATGGTGATGGTGATGGTGATGGTGATGGTGATGGGGATGGTGATGGTGATGGTGATGGGGATGGTGATGGTGATGGTGATGGTGATGGTGATGGTGATGGTGATGGTGATGGTGATGGTGATGGGGATGGTGATGGTGATGGTGATGGTGATGGTGATGGTGATGGTGATGGTGATGGTGATGGTGATGGTGATGGTGACAGAAAGAGTGGTTGACTTGATAACGGGTGTGCGATGACATCGATACACAAGCACCGAACAGGAGTGGTGCTCACATAAACCCATACGCTTACAACTGCTGAAGGTTTGTCATGGTAGTCACGACAGGTGCCAAGGGCCCTGACAGGAATGTGGAAGCCAGCTCCCTGCCACACATATCGCAACATAGAATTGGAATTTCTGCAGACACTCGCATCCACAGTGTGCCCTATGGATTCAGCTGCCGCATGATTTTCGGGTGAACCGTGAATGTTCCCCCATGCTCAAGGGCCCTCCAATTGTTAGGGACAGTTGAACCTCAAAATCTTTTGCAATGTCAGAGAAGGAGGCATTGAGGACAGAAGTCAATTTGACCGCACAGAGGGTATACTTGAGAGAAATGACCAACTTGGTTGAACTAGAACATGTTGTCAAAACTGAAGGTTGAAATGATACATTAGTAATGAGAAAATAAGAAAAGAGCAAGAAATAGATGGGGAGGGAATCGGGGCAATATATAGGGGATTGGGGATAATCTCAAGGCAATTTCCAATTGGTGGGTTCGAGGTTGCTTGGTGATTACATTTGGATTGGGTTGGGATGTGGGTGTACACCCAACCAAACACAAAGTGCAAACTACACTAAGCTAGAATATAAAAAGTAGTACAAAAGTTGAGATTGAGGGCGAACATTAACACATGTCCAGGGTTTAGGCCCTCTTTGTCGCCAGACTAGAACTGTGAGTGAGATGTTCGAGTATAACATTCTTGGTTCGGTTTGACAAACCGTGTCAAGCATAACATGTTCAACCTGACAGCATGTTCGTGTCGGTCATGATCTACTACGCTTCGAGTTTGAGAAATTTTGAGATAACATTTAAGATCAAACACTTTTTAACATATTCAGCCCACCCCGTAGCATGTGGGACCATTTCCCCAAGTTCTTTTTTGGTAAGAGTCCTGAAGTTGCCTTTTCTAGTGGAAACGCAAATGTAGGCCGCCCTACCTCATAGCATCTGGGAAAAATTGACTTAAAGCCTAGTTTGCCACAGAAACGTTAACCTACCCTACCATCTAAGCAGAATCACCTTAGAGCCGAGTTTCCACAATCCAAATCTAGGTGTGACAGGCTTCGAACCGAACTCGAACAGGTTCGACTTGAACCTGTTGAACTTCGATTCGCACACCGCACTGCTTGACTTGAATAATGAACAGTCAAACATTACAACACGTGTTTGGTATTAAGTGTTTGAATTTGTTTAACTCGAACGTATTCGCGTTGAATTTTCGCTCGTGCTCACATAAAAGGGGAAATTTGAACAACGTTCAACCAGACCAAAATGGTCATCCTCGAACCAGCCTAAGACGTAATACAAATGTGTTTGATAACCCAACCCAACTGATTGTGTAACAGAAGATGTTGGGGTGGTCGAACAGACTTCCGACTCCTCCTTTCTCCTTTCTTAACCACTTTTTCCTGAATAGACGAGTAACCCAAACTGCAATGGTTCAATCAACCCTCTTTAAAATCGGCCTCCAGGACCAAACATCAAACCATAAGCTGCTCAGGAGGATTCAACCTGAACCGGACCAATTCAGTTCAAATGTGCCCCCCAAATAGACCCAGTTCAGTTTCTTCTCATGCGTATAGATGCTGGTGATAACAATGCACATGGTATGCTCGCGGTGCGGTGGTGAGGCGAGGCTTACAGATACAGAAGCTTTTGGAGAGAGCTAAAAGCCAGCGGCACGGGACCATGGATGCGCAAGTCACGGAGGGCACTGCACAGATGGGAGAAAAGAGAGCTGATTCGTTTGAAATGAAATACATCAACAACTGCTAGGGTCCATAAACCCTCCTTCGAATTGTAGACCTTGTTGGAAGTGCCATAAACCAAACATACGGGACTCCTAAAGTTGGATAACTACTCAATAGCACACAAGCTCTACACGAAATATGTGAGTGGGACCATTGGAGATTTGACCAGCGTTGAGACAGGAGAGATGAACAAAGAAACGAGGACTGAAGGTAGCTTACAAGCCTCGTAGATTCGTAAGATTGGCCAATGATAATGGAATGCTGCCGGTGAAGTCATTTACACCTAACGCCCTGCCAGTAAAGGAAGCATGGAAAATGAGGCAGCTGAGGGATAAAAAAATCACACTGAAGGGCAAGCTGATGGCAGGATAGCAGCAAATGGGAGTGAAAGAAGGCACCACCATTCCTAACTCACAGGTGGCTCAGCTGAGTCATGGCTCCAAAAGAAGAAGAGATACTTCCTTGAAAGTGGTTGTATTCTAGATGCCTGCAAGGGTGATGGTGTCCGGTCAAAACAATAAGGTCCCCTTGTGACAGCACCTCTCTCAATCAAAATGCCTTTCCACTGCTTCAAATATCGACTGGTGGTCGACAACCCTAGATGAAAGAAAAAAGAGTGCCGTTATCCTTTTTCCAGATGGTGACCGCAAAAAATGGTTACGTAATAAACGCCCGTAGAAAAAAAAAAAGAAAGTTAAGGAGAAGGAAAAAATCTCGTTTGGGTGAGAAAAAAACCGTTCCCCCCTTCAGTAATCCAATCTGCTATGTATTATGGGCAATTTTCTATAAGAAACAAGGGAGCTGCTCGAAGTGCTGATGAGGCAAGCACCACACGAGATACTGTGATGCGCTCTTCTACTCACAGCGGCATATTGATTGAAAGCCCTATGTGGTGTCGTCTTCAAGCCAAGCATAGACGATTGTGGTTGGTCATGTATGCACTCGCTATGTAAATAGAGCAAGCAATGTCTTACAGACGTGTCAGTTGTCGCAGCTGGAAAAGAGAATCAGGCACGTAACCGCTGAGCCGATTGCGGTCCACGGCTCTTGAGAGGAAGTGGAGGCACACAAAAACGGGGTACAAACACCGAGTGAATGCAGAAAGGAGAAATTAATGGAGATATATTGAGAGGAAGGCGCAAGTGGGAATACCACGCACAGATCACAAGCACAAATAGAAAGGGGAAACAAAAAGACATCGGAAAAAGAAATCTCGAGGTTGGACCGTATAGACAGACAGTCTATCTGATTTGAGGCTGCAGTGGTAGAGCAAAACCTCCATTGTTCAACAAGTTAAGTTGATATTGAGAGCATACAATACAACACACAAGTGAATCGAACCAAACAAAAATCGGGTCATCCAACACTCTCGCGTCATGTATGGACGGCAACCGAGCCTGAACCGAAACACAGTGTAGTAGAAGTAGGTAGGCAGGAGCAATGTCCGGTCAGTGGCAGAATCGTCAGGAACCGAAAGATGCCCCACCCAATTTCCAGTGCCAGAATCGCACTCGACCGTATGGCACCCAAGAAAACATCCTCCACGAGAAGCAGGTACATTGGCTGGTCTACATGCTGTCAACGTCTACGACTCCAAGTCTGGGAACGATTTGGCCAGCGATGTCAACAATCAAACACACTGCATGTTCTCCTTCACCAATTCTACCACATTGCTGGCAGTGGTTGGGCGGCTAGGGAAGACGAACATGTCAGCCAGCCTGCCTAAAGGATGGTTAACCAGCAACCAATCTGATTTTACTCCTTCCCAGTGATGAAGTCATTTTTCCTCCTCCTTTTTTTATAATTGAATGCATACACTGAGACAGCAAGTGCATGCAGACAATAGCAGTCGTAACTGCGCATAAGGGCAGGCATAGGCACTGCCACAACCTAGGATAGGATTCTAGGGCGGTGCAACAACTCTCCTTGGATTGTTCCACATAGCCGCGAAAGCAGCCGACCACTGCCACAAATTGTCGTCAGCTGACATTCTGCTTCAGCATTTGCTGCTCCTTTGCAGCCGTGATCCGGTCCCTTCTAATCCTGCCTCTGAGAGTCCTGAATGTAGAGCCTTGCGTGGAGCCTGAAAGCCGCTCCAATCCTTCGTAAGACCCGACGAGTACGGAAGTTTCGATCCCTAAAAGCCGTGTCACATCTCTCTGCCCACAGTTGGTGTAGCGTGACGTGATGGCAGTCAGCGTGGCCTCCGGAATATTCAAACTGGTGCCCGATTTCTCGAACAGAAGATCGCCCAGCGAGGCAGGGGAGCGCCATACCAACGGAAAGAAAAAAAAAAGAGAGAGAGAGAAAAAAAAAACAAACAAAACAAAAAAAACGTTTGTGGGAGAAACACACGTACAAGAAGGAAAGGTTGGGCAGTGCGGCAAAGAAGTCTGGTAGAGGCCCAGAAAGAGTGTTGTAGCTTAGTCCCCTGGACAATGGCAAAAAAGTTCAGCAGCACACACGCATGATGTACAGGGTGGGTGAAAAGGGAGGGCAGAGGAGGCTGGTGCGGTCGGACCACCCCGCGCGGATCTGACGTTTCGCACTCAGATCCTCACATCACATCTGGCATTCCGCCGTCAAATTTCCGCGAGTCCTGACACTTGCATGCATGAAGCTGGTGGCGGGACCGGCTTGGGGTTTGGTTGGGGGGAGGACAGGTGCCCTGTTATGAGTTTCATTCGGAAACCAATTTCAATGTAAACACCCAATTCACCAGCAAACTCGTGAAACTTTCAGATGGGAATGCTGTGTGACTATAACAAAAAGACAAAAAACGAACAAGAACTTGTCGAACATGTTCGTCCTTGGGGCAAACCGGAGGGTGTTCGCCTCTTCAGGCGAACAGCCGAACACTCTTTCCCCAGAAAATTTTAGGGCGAACATGAACACGTTCGGTTCGCCGAGCACGCGTCTTCGCCATTTGCTCATGCCTACCACAATTTGCCTTCCCTGACTTGTCAACATTTGATGATCCAGCAGCACCGGCAAGAAAGAACAGCAGCAGGAATAGCAACTCACAGGAACTGAACCTTCTTCAGATATGACAGTTCTCTGGGCAGTGTTCCTTCTATCAAGTTCACCTGTATTGAGCTGCACCAAACGGTAATGGCCTCGCAACACAGAGTGAAGAATATACATAAACAGGAATGAAGACACTGCAAAATTATCGAACCTCTTTACTAGGAGTGAACCTGCATGCTTTCATGCTATTTTCTTCAATATAGCGGCATGCACACAGCGCAGCGCAGCACAGCACACCACTATGCCACAGATGGGGCCACGTGCGGCACACATTCGGGCGCTCACAGGTATTCCAGGTTGCTCAGCTTGCTGATGTCAGCAGGAACAGAGCCAGAGATGCTGTTGAGGTTCAGATCCCTAATGCATGAATTCATAAATACACACACACAAACATGATCGTTCATACATGTGTGAGCATACTGACGGAGGTGAGCTGGAAAGATAAATGACTCTCATGATTTCATCTCATCTTTGCCATCCCTTGCCTTCCCGAACTAGGCATGAGCATCAGTCTGAGCCAAAGGCAGCTGGAACATCATATTGTCAAACAAACTGCCCGACGACGGATCAGGTCGGCGATTTTCCGCCACCGGCTCGCTCAATCAATCCTACCAGTATCATCAGCTCATCAAATCAAAGCCAGGCCAGCAGCCGGCTTGCCATCGGCGTGTCGCAAGCCGGCGAGTAGTCCCTCTCACCCAAGGCTGCCATGCACGGCAAATACTCCCTCCCAGGTCTGCGCGTCGATGACACGCCAGACCAGATCTCCACAGACCTGACCGTGAAATGCCAATTCCATTCCATGCGCATCAGGCCAACAGAGACGAGCAGAGGCCAGCGTGTCCTGCCTGGCTCGCCCCATCCACTCCAGTGGCCCAGCCCAGCGGGGCGGGTTCAGCTGGGCTGGCGTGCAGCCCCGCCCCCCGCCCGTCATCCACTGCTGTGGGCGGGGCCGGCTAGATCTGCTCAGCCCATCCCATCCCCTGGTAGTCGGCTCGTTGCGTTCCAACGAAGCCGGCTTGGTTCAGACCACCGGCTGACTCGATGCTTGCAGCATATGTCAGTTAGGAAGGGTGGGGCTCACAGCTTGGTGAGATGGCGCAGAGTGAAGAGGGCGGATGGCAGCGAGCCAGACACCTGGCAGTTGACTATTGAGCTGCAGAGAGATTGGAAGAGAATCACAGGCCACACAGAGCAGACGCACGGGAAGAGGCAGAAGCATGGCAAAAGGCACAGTCGAGCACGGGCACCGGGGCATAGCATGCGAATATAATATGGTCATAGAGCCACTCGTTACGAAAGGTGGAAGACAATCCAGGCCAGGCATCCAACACCTGGAAGAAAGGTGGGCTGGAGCAGAGAGCAGCCAACACCTGATTTGCAGTGTTGCACAGGCACGTGGTGCAAGAGGGGCAATGATTTGAGGAAAGATATCCTGTTTGCAAATAGATGATTCAGGCAAGCACAGGAAGAAGGTCGTCTCACATTGATCGAAGATAGGAGAGACCACTGATGGCGTTGGGTATAGGCTTCATAATAGCCTGATCAGCTAAGTCTCTGGAGTCATGAGATAGTATGGGAAACAAGAAGGCAAGGAAGGGATTGGGAATTGAAAGCACAAAGGAAGAAGAGTATAGTACAAGCTGGCAGGTGGAAGTGATGAAAAGGCACGCAAAAAACAGAGACACGGGTGCCAGCAAACAGCATAAAATTGAATAAACATGCATAGAAAAGGTGGATCCATCCATACAAGCACTGCGTGCTGCTAGCGAAATACGCTTTCGATTCACAATTGTCTTTGCAAATACCAGCTGCGTCCACTTCCATCCACGAAATTCTACATGACCTGCGTGGCGCCAAAGCACAAACTGATGCTGAGTGGATTACAAGGATGTGACAAAGCCGTCGACGGTGCAAGCGATGCCCCTCATCTCTTGACATTCGGCGTTGTAGAGCCATGAGACAGCACTTGCAAACGTGCCCCACTCGTCTACGATTTTCGCCAACACGTCTTCTGAAATTACGAAATGTAATGACACCACAATTGTATTGTGCAGCAGGGAGGAATGTGACATGCAGGAAGAAAGGAGGAATATGCTACTTGATGGGGAAGGACATGTGTGCAAAACGGGTACAGATACCTGACCCGCGGCCTGCCACTGTAAGGCCAGCTTGACCTGGTGGCGCGTCAGAAACAAGGTGGAAAGAAACGGTTGCTGAAAAATACGATTGTTTTTTCAATGATATTTTACGGTACCTTTTGGGAAAGAAATGGCGTTCTTTTGTAGGGAAAAAAAAAACCAGATTTAGAATGTTGTTTCGAGTAAAAAAACACCTCACAGCATGTCTTGGTGCATCAGCAGCTCTTCTAACGGCCCTCTAGTCTAGTGCTACTTACGAAGAATTGCCCATGTTACAGCCCATTGTTACTTGGCCCGCAACCAATTTTAGGGTCGCGTGCCTTTCAGATTTAGCTCATTTTTTTAGCTCAAACTAGTCGCGACCTAACCGCCAGACCCCTAACGCCAATTACTGCCCTTTCTTAGGAATCCTAGGACCACCTAAACTCCATCTTAGAATTGTTTACGTTACATTACCTTTCTCGAGAATGGTGGAACCTTGAAGTAATTGCGGTTTAGGGTTGGAGCATGCGTTTAGGGATCATGTGGGAGGGTCAAGGTCCCTGTCTGCCATGTGTGACTATAATGAAACTTGTACACGGGCGAACACGAACGTGTTTGTCTCGAACACGTTCGTGTTCGCATTTGCCTGCAAGATGTTCGCCTTCACAGGCGAACTTCGAACACCCATTTTTGCAAAAGGTGTTCGGCGAACCGAACAGTGTTCGGTTCGTCAAACGGCTATGTTCGTGCAGGGGCGAACGCGAACATGTTCGTCCGGACTCCGCCAATCCAAGCAGATCGGCGGTCAATCGCCAATGTGTGCGGGATCGGGGGGCGAAATCAGTGATGCACCCGAGCTTTGACTTAATTCAGGGGTTGGTCTACCCGATCTGCCAAGGTGCTATCTTATTCTGAACGCTAGGCTCCAGAATGCTAGATGCGTCTAGGTCTCCTTTAAGAAGGAATGGTTTTGAGGGAAGGGAGGGAAGGAATGGAGGGGGGATTCGAGAAAGCAGGGGAAATCGAGAGAGGGTTAGAGACAGCGAGAGAGAAAACATAACAAACGAGCATCAAGTTTTAAAGTTCCCTGTCAAGGGAAGCCTGGCAAGTTGGGCCCAGCCCAGCAATGCAATGAACGCACTCTGAGAAGGCTTGATTAACTCCGCGGACGCCTCTCCACAGGAACACAGCAGCAGTAGTACGATATGAGCATGTTTCAGCATGGCCAGCTCATGCGACCACATGGTTCGCTGCATGGTGGGACGGTGGATGGGGAAGCATTCGCTTATAGGTGGATTGCCACTGGCAGCTTTGTAGGGTACATATATTTCTCCACTGGGTCAACTCCTTGCGCTTAGCTGACATGAGGATTAAGTAGAAAACAACTGCCAATGGGTCATAATCCTGTGTCTGTTTGAAACTCAGCTTCACTCTCGGAAAATCGCATGCGCAAACGTTCACGTGCGCACACACAAGTCGGAGATTTATCGGGTCGCACAAACACACTGGTACAAGAGCACAATGCAGCAGGCACAGAAGAGCAGGGAAAAAAAACATCCTCGCAAATCTTCCGACCACGTTATATACACGGCACACGTCCCTCGACAGCCCCAAACCCACACCAAACGCTCACGTTCACTCCGCGCGCCGCATGTTGGTCGGTGCTGGCGTCATCGCGCGGCACCATGTGCATGGTCACATCCAATAGCTGGCTGCCGCATAGAAGATACGACGGCCGCGAAACCCCGAAACATCAGAAAGCGTTTCCCGCCGCAAATGCCGGGAGTCAGCGACAACCTATCTAAGTGAACAGTACTACTTCGCTGCTTGCAACCCTAGGCGGGTGTCGTATGAATGATGCGACCATAGGCGGGTGTCGTATGAATGCTGCGACCCTAGGCGGGTGTCGTATGAATGCTGCGACCCTAGGCGGGTGTCGTATGATGCTGCGACCCTAGGCGGGTGTCGTATGAATGCTGCGACCCTAGGCGGGTGTCGTATGAATGCTGCGTTGCGACCCCAAAGCTGAGTATAGTCTAAGCGCGAATGGATCAACTTCAAAGTAGTGGTGGTGTTAGTGGCGTTACAAGCTCGACACTGTTGGGTGCAAGAATGCTGTGTGTCGTCGTGCCATGCAGGCTGTATCTGGTGTTCCGTCAGCCCACCCAACAACCAAATTCACAACATTTCTAGGGTTTCGTGCTGGAATTCTGGTTCCGTGGGGCAAGGTGCCTCAGCTGCGAGTGCCTTTTCCCCGTTTTTTACATTACGACGTGTAGTTTTATTGTTTTGTTCACTATCGTACGTGTAATGCGACGGACTGTGCAATGCCGTTTTGGTCCCACAGACATGACCAGGTTTTTTGGTGGTGCGTTATGAACAGACTGATTTGTGTAATGTCTATTTGGCCACCAAATTATGTCTAAACAATGCGTTTCTGGGGAACTCATAGGAACAGAATATTGTTATGTTTACAAATTAAAAAACCACTGGCTGTAAGCTGTGAGAAGCCGGACTCGTTACACTAGGTCATAACTTTTGATAAAATGCAATTACCAGCTATAACAGCTAAGGGTACATTCTTTTTTTTTAATCGGGTAATTATATGATATAAATTTTGCTCCGCAACCCTAAGACGATTTCGTCGCCTCTTGTTTTTTTTTTTTTCACAAGCAAAACATACTCCTAGAGAAAGTAAATGGAAACGGGAAGAGAAAAGGGAAAAAAAAAAAAAAAAAAAGAGAAGAAAGGGCGAAAATGGGAAAGAAAAGGAAAAGGGAAAGCAAAGCCAGAAGGGACTCAAAAGCCCAACACACCCCAAGAAAATACCCAATCTAAAACCCCCTTCTCCTACCCCCCCCCCCTCCCCCCTCTCCCCAACGCCCCTCAAACTGGGACAGACACCATATACTGAGCATCCACCCACAGTGCCCCCCCCATCTCATCAGTGTCCTCCCTCTCCCTGTCCACTAGATCGATATCTGCTCCTCCCATCGATGACGCAGCGCGTAGCAAAATAACTCGAGCCTGGGCACGCTGCAAGGCCACCCCAATCATGGCCTTCAAGGATCCCATGAGATACGAGGAAAATGCCTGATCATCCTCTCGACACGCCCCCCTCGAAACGGCAAGCCCGAAATGTGCATCTCCCTGCTGTCGCAGCCAACGCCAAAAACGTCCACCCAAGCATCCCCATGTCTCAACAATCAAAGGGGTGAATTGCACTCCCCTGTTGCGCGCTAACAGCGGCGAGTAATCTCCCGACTTCCTGCGCTCCCACTCCTTGGCCGCCACTCCTATGGACCGCCCACACTGCCCAACCAAGGCTGGAGACAGAGACAGTGGATTGGCAACACTGACCTCCAGAGCATGCGCCTCCCCCGCCGTTGGTCGACGCACCGCGACATCTACCCGCTTCCCTACCAACATCGAGTCGCCCTCCATCGACACCACCCCTCCCGCCGCCTTAGCGATCCTAGCCACCGCAAACTCCACCTCGTCGTGCACCCGAGACGGCCAGTGCTGGTGCTTACAGCGCAGTGCATGGTGTGGATCTGCCGGGCCCGTGTACTCAGTGCCGCAAATGCAACGGCCCGCGACGTGCAGCTGCTGAATCGGGAAGGCCCAAACGCACACCCGCTGCAATGCCCCACTCAGCGGCTGTAAAGGTCAAATATGAATGTGCAGGCACCGCCAAAACCCATGCACCAGCCCCCGGGCCCTGAAGGGATGTGAAACGGGCCAGGGTAGCATCGTCACGGGCCATACGACGGAGAGCCTGGAGCTCTTCCATAGCTAACAGCCGTTGCCGCGTATGGAAAAGTCGAACTGGTGGGGCCGCTACGCAAAGGTGGAGACCCGACATCTCCTGCGTACAGCGTCGGGCAGCTGTTCGAGGCTCCTGGGGAACCACGGGTCGATGAAGTCCACCCCCCCCGAAGAGCTGAGGTAGTCTGCAAACATCGCCTCCTCTCCCGCTATCCCCAACTCAGCCACCCCTCGCGCCGCCTGCGTCCATCCACAGGCATAGGAGAGTGGGCTCAAAGACTCCGCAGCCCGTACACCGAAACCACGCAGACGAACTGGGAGGTGTAACTGCAGACGGGCCAACCTAGACCGACCGGGGTCGTGCTCCCATGTGCCCGGAGGAAAAAGCTGCTCAAAACTGTCCTCCACTCTGCTGTCCCACTCCCTAAACGCCTCCACCACCTCTGGTCGTTGTGGCACCGTCCGAGCAAGGTACATAGGTCGTGCCGCCACTGCAATAGCCAGAAGGTGCGCCGCCATCTGAGGATGCTCGAGCATCGGGAGCCAAGTAAGGGGCGCCTGCAGCTGCTGTAGCCGCTCCCGTACTCGAACAACCTCCCAGTCCTCATCACCAATCGGAACGCCAACTACCGTCAAATCCTCCTCGGTCCGCTGCATGCCAGGAGGCAACCGCTCCTCAAGATCAGCTCCCCCCCGCTCCCAAAACCGGCACTTATGCGCCTGTACTTGCAATCCCACTGACTCCAACCGCTCCCGCAGCACGCCCAATGCCTCCAATATCCTACCCCCAGGACCCAGGATGTAGGTGTCGTCGGCATAGCTCAGGAACAAGACATCGGCAAAATCCTTGATGACCGGCCCCATGACCTGCTGCTGCGCGAATGCGAATAGGAAAGGGGCCAACGGGTCTCCCTGTCTCGATCCCCTTGCAGAGATCAGTGTCTCCACAAAAGGGCTTGCCCTCAGGTAGAGGTCGCTGGGCGACCCATAGAAGATGCTCAGGAAGGGGATGAGACCGGAGAAAGGCGAGTCTCGCAACCCCTCGAACATCGCACGCCGATGGAAGGAGTTGAATGTATTCGCGACGTCGATCTGCAGTGCGCACCAGTCAGGATGGGTCACCAGGGCCGAGCGAAAAGCATGGGTGAGTATCTCAACTCCCGCCCTGGTCCCCGCCCCCAACTGGTTATATGGTAGGAAGTGTGATGCCATGGCTGGGCGAAGTGTGATGCAGAGTGCTCGTGCAAGGATGCGCTGCAACACCTCTCCGATGGCAACCGGTCTCACATCCTCATTGGGATTGGAGAGCCCGACCAGGTTTGACGCCGCAAGCCAGGGCCGAACACGCTGAGGGGCCTGTCCCGCCACCCACTGATTGAACACCTCAAGGAGATGGCAGAGGTAAGAGGGTTCGGTGAGGAAAGTGTCGCGCAGATGCTCCGTGACCCAACCCGACGGACCCGCTCCTGACGCACGAGCAGCTGTGTGAATGGCTCTGGCTAAAGTGTCACAGGTGAGCATCGGCCGCCGAACGTCATCGGCAGCAAAATCGCCAACGCACTCCGGTACCCCGTCGACGCTCTCAGGGTGCTTCCCTCGCAAAGATTCCACCATTGCCTCCGACGGTCGCGCCAGCTCCCCCGCCGAAAGACAAGCCAACCCCCGACTCCACTCTCCCACTTTACATCGTGTCCGACACCGAGCAAGGCGGATGGCGTCTGGGTCTTGGTCCGCCGCTGTGTAGGTGAGTGGGCGAACCGCCGGGCGTGCTGCGGACAAGGCAGACTCATACAGCTGGTGCCACCTCCCCTCCCAAAACGCCCCCAGATGCTCTTTGATCGCAGCTCGCTGACCCATGTCCGGCTTGGATGGCACGCCCAGAATAAGGCGTGGAAAGGCTAGGAGAATCAGCGTGTCCGCTTCATCCGTTGGCTTGTTCTTCAATCGTTTCAACACACAGCAGAGCGCGTCAAGGACGTCTAACCGAGCTTGCTGGGGGATTCGTCGCACGGTTCGCCCTCCCACTGCTCCCACGTTGAAAAAGGCCTCCCAGTCCCAAGAAGGGACCTCAGCCCACACTACTTCCTGGATCTCCCGCGGCGTCGGGCGCTCCTGAGTCTGTCAGTACATTCCGCTGTGGACAGCGTCCCAATCGATTCTACCGCACTGCATCTTATTACACCGAATTACACCCTAGTTTCAAAATTTTCGCTTCTCTGGTTTAGTTCGGTTCAGAGCGGTACACCCGATTAGGACATGTACGATTGAGACATGTCCAGGGCGGAATGTACCCTATGTTAGTCCAAAAATCAGAAGCTACATGTAAGCTGTTACAAATTTCGATGATCACACGCTCCCTTTTGAACTTTGTAAAGCCCTCGGCTTTCCAGCACATGTATGCCCAGTTTTGCGTTTCCATACATACCCGTGCCAACTGTGCATATCACTGCGAACCAGCCGTGCGCACTACCCAATCACACAGCAAATGTTAGAAGTGGTTTCGCCGCTGCACCGACTTCAAGAGCGAAAAAACGACAAACGGGACGGCTGGAAAATGCCTTACCTATGGTGGTGGGAAGGAATAGGCTGGACATTGAGTTTCTGACGGTGGGAGGAGTTTGGTGAGAGATCGTGAGGAAGAGCTGGTGAAAACGAGGGTTTCAGGAGGAAGAGAAGGGAGAACAATCTGGACCGCCAGCATTTTTCCCAACCTTTCTGGAGGCGGTGTTCGGTGGAGTTGGAGAAAGTCGGTTTCACCGACGGTTCAGTTTGAATTACGGTTTTCAACGTCGGTTACTGTTACGAATTTCGGATTCGCGACGAGGCGCGTTACGCGAGGCGCACTTTGAAATTCGGATTTCGGATTGCTTAAATATCAATTCTGTTTTCCTCATTGTATCACATTTTCATAGTGAAACTTTCTGTTTACAACTTGGGTTGGAAAGCAACCTACTTCTTCAACTTTCAGATCCAATCTGAAGCCCGCTACTGCTGTTTTCGTGACCTGCGAAGTCACGTACTGACTGCGACCAAGTCTAAGAGCTGGTATCAGAGCTGGTTCTAGTGCGTTTCAAGTATTACACAAGGGCCAAGACAAGTTCCTGCATCATGCCGAACGGGGATGGTGAGGCAAGCTCGGGTTCTTCAGTCAGTGCTGAAGTTCCCCAAGTCCAAGCCCTCTTGGAGGCCCTAACACAAGGGCAAATGATGGCCAGGCCAACGATCGGCCTGAGCGAGGCGCAACGGTTCAATGGCAACAATTATAGCACATGGCGTCTTAAGTTCATGCGGCGGGCAAGAGAGATTGATATATGGCACTTCTACAAGGCGGACGAGGAGACGGAGGAAGGAGTACCTCCACCTGCAACGGCAATGACACAAGAAAAGAGGACATACAAGAAGAAGAGTTTACAGGCCTTCTTCCAACTGTGTCACTCGGTCTCAGACTCCATCGCTGTGGGGCTGGACCAGTTTGCAGACGACATCAACTCAGCACAACGTGCATGGGCATACATGGAAGCAGTGTACCTCGGACGCACTGACAGAAATCTGACTGCAGTGAGAAAGAAGCTGCTCCTGCTCGCAATGGAGCCAACTGAGAAGATGATTGACTACGTGAATAGAGCCAAGAGCTACAATGACGATCTCACGGCAATGGGGGCACCCGAATCAGAGAAGCACATGATGGGATACATCATCAGCGGCTTACCTAAGGAGTGGACGGCAGAAATCGGAATCTTGACCTGCAACACGCCCAAGGATATGACCCAGCTGCTCGAGACCCTCCAGGCGCTTGAGCTGGTCAAATCTGACCTGAAAAGGAGGGAAGCAGTGGCAACGGCAGCAGAGGACAACAGGCCTGCAAATCTGAATGCAACAGCGACACCAAGGAACTCTGGCAGCTGCTACCACTGCGGGAAGAAGGGTCACAAAGCTGCGGACTGTTATTCCAACCCCAATGCAAGAAACTACAAAGGGACAGGGCGCTGGCAGCAAAACAGCGAGACGGGACGTGGAGAAGGCTACAAGGCAAGCGCATGATTCAATGGAAATTGCAACCATTGCGGCAAATATGGGCACAAGGCGTCCGATTGCTACCACAACCGAGCTAGCAGAAACTTTCGAGGAAAAGAGCTGCAACAACAAAGGCCAGCAGCAGCAGCGAAGACAAACCTGATGGAGGCACCTGCAACTGTGGAAGAAACACCAAAGGTGGACCCCATCCTTGGAGGCGCCCACAAAGCCAACGTTGCTCGAGCATCCGAGGTGTGCCTGCTGTCAAAAGGATTCAAGGAAACGGTTTGGTTTATGGACAGCGGGTGTACACAGCACATGACACACCGGGCTGATTGGCTACGCAACTACCGGGAATCCGGAGTCCCTTATGTCCTACTCGGGGATGAGGGAAAACTTCAAGTGCAAGGAGAAGGGGACCTGATCTTACAGAGTCCCTATGGGGAGCTGAAAATGGACAACGTTCTACTAGTGGAGAAGCTGTCCCTTAACCTCATAAGCCAAACGCAACTGGACAGTAGTGGCTGCAAGACCTTCAGTGACAATGGAAAGCTGTGGGTGTTCGATCCCGACTGGAAATTGCTAGCGGAAGGCGCACGGACTCAAGGACTCTACGAAATGAAGCTGAAGGAGCAAGATTCGCGCAAAGACATGGTTACCTATCATCCTGAACCTGAAGAAGGGAAGAAGGCCCGAGAAGAGCTACGTACCATGCTGGAAAACACTGCAGTGACCGAGCTGCAGCAGCTGAAGCTTCCCGTGGCAGCAGCGGCGGAAGCAGTTGACATCAATCTCCTGTACAAAAGGATGGGGCATGCAAGCACTCAACGAATCAAGGAGATGATGAAGAAAAACATGGCAGCGGGAGTGAAGGTGACTGGAGCTGAGGAATCCCATACGAAGTGCGACTCATGTGTTGAAGGAAAAGCTACAAAGGCTCCCCATCCAAGACATGGACCGAAGGAGCCATATGGGGCAATGGAAGTGGTGGCAGCGGACGTATGCGGTCCAATGAGGGTAACATCACGACATGGCAGCAGATACTTCATTACATTCACGGACATCAGCACAAGGCTCACATGGGTGACGGAAATCAAGGATAAAACTCAGGTTTTTCCGAGTTTTGTGGACTGGTTGGCGGAAGCTGAACGACAAAGCGGCAAGCAGCTGAAAGTACTTCGAACCGACAACGGTGGGGAATTCATCAACAAGGAGTTCAACGACTACCTGAGAGCCAAGGGAATACGACGGCAGCGTACTATTCCCCACACCCCTCAACACAACAGTATTGCGGAGCGGGTGAATAGGACACTACTCAACAGCGTGCGAAGCATGATAGCGGACAGCAAGCTACCTCTGACCTACTGGGGAGACGCGCTGGGCATGGCTTGCTGGCTGGAAAATCGCCTACCGACGAAGGGACTCGTAGCGGACCTGACACCTCACGAAGCATTCTACAAACGGAAGCATAACCTGAAGTTTCTTCGGGTATGGGGCTGTATGACGCAATACAGGCCTCCTGCTGGAGCTGGTCACAAACTTCTGCCAAGGGCAAGGTGGGGGGTGCACTTGGGAACATGTCCAGAAAGCAAGGGCTGGATCATCAAGGACGTGGAGACCGGGATTGTGCTGGCGACCAGAGATGTGACATTCTACGAAAACCTTAACTATGTGGACTGGAAGGCAAGCAACAAAGGCACAACTCCAGGAACAGCACCTGCCACACCTCAACGAGCGGAGGAACTGCTTGAAGATGCCCAAAACGAAGGCTTGGGGACAGCGAACAATGAAGGGGAAGAAGATGAGGAGGAACATACCCAACCGGGAGTGGATTGGGTGTGGGAGCCAACTGAGGAGACGCTCAACAGCGGTGACATGGAGGAGCCTCCTACAACCCCACTCCTGCCAAAATCTGCGAGCGACAAATATGAAGACATTGGAGAGGATGAAGCTGAAAAAACAGAGCAGCCAAGGACTGAGGGCAAAAGCGACTCTTGGGAATTTTTCGAGACAAGCAACAATGACAAAGGAGCAGCAGAGATCGACAACTTGCTGCAGGATGGTGCTATTCTCATTGGGAGAGAGGAAGGAAGTACAAGCACGGAGAAAGCAAGGGAGATGGAAGCAGGCACGTGTGCAAGTGATGCTTCGGTGAAAGGAGAGGAGCTGGGAAGAGGGATGCGGACGAAGAAGCCAAATCCGAAATACCAACAGGTCTTGATGACATGCTGGAAAGACGTGCACACTCACCTCCTTCTCACGTCGACGGCGACCGCATTGATCACGAAGGAACGGAGAGAGTCCTACAGCTTGCCACAAGAACCCATGAGCATCGAGGAGGCACTTTCAGGACCATACAAGGAGCAGTGGAAAGCGGCTATACAAGAGGAGTTGGACGCTTTCGCGGAGAGAGGCATTTGGAAACTTGTCCAAATGCCCGAAGGGAGGCACGCCGTTGGCGTCAAGTGGATTTTTAAGATAAAAACAGGTGACATGGGGCAGCTGGAGAGGTTCAAAGCACGGCTGGTGGCAAAAGGCTACACGCAAGTGGAGGGGATCGACTACACGGAGACATATGCACCAGTCAGCAAATTGACTACAGCAAGGACACTCTTCAAGATAGTTGCAGCACGCAACTACATCATGGTTCAACTCGACATCAAGAACGCTTTTCTATACGGAGAGCTTCAAGTAGACATCTACATGGATCAGCCCACAGGAATGGAGGACGGGACTGACAGAAAATGCAAGCTGCTGAAAGCGCTCTATGGGCTGAAACAAAGCCCTCGAGAATGGTACAGGGCTATGGATGCACGCCTCCTTGAAGGAGGATTCCAGAAAAGTCAGTGCGACAGAGCATTTTACTGGAAAGGGGAAGGGGAGGAGAAAGTCTATCTCCTACTCTACGTCGACGACATCCTAGTGGCCGGAGCTTTGGAGGTCAGAGTTGAGGAGGTGTGCGCTCACCTTGCAGCCGTTTTCCAAGTGAAGCAGATCCCGCGAGCCACGTTGTTCCTTGGCATGAACCTGGAGCGGGACCGAGAGGAGAAGAAGCTACTGCTCTACCAAAAGAAGTACATTCATCGGCTGCAAGAACGATTTGGGACACCAGGCTGCACCAAGACCGTGACAACTCCGCTCAGCAGCCTCTCGGAGAAAGAAATCAATCCTGAAGAAGAACTCATCCAATGGGTCAGCAAGGAGCGAGCATTGAAGGCTTACCAGTCACGCGTCGGATCGGTGATGTACCCCGTCTCTTGTACGCGGGTAGACGTCGCACATGCTGCCAGCTTCTTGGGGCAGAACGTGCTGCAGCCAGAAGGCCGCAAGTGGAAGGAGATGCAGCGCACAATCGCTTATCTGCAGCAACGGGGAGAAGAGGGGCTACTCTACGAAGGCGGAGAAGAGACAATGGAGCTAATCGGATATGCTGATGCATCTCATGCATCAGACAAGAAGGACCGGAAGGGAGCTTATGGATACGTCTTTCTCCTGGGCGGGACAGCAATCACTTGGCAAGCAAAGAAGCTAAACGACATTGCACTCTCGAGCGCGGAAGCGGAATACATGGCGTTATTCTATGCCTGTCAAGAAGGAGTATGGCTTCGGCGTTTGATGCAAGAAATGGGGATACACATTGCAGGACCAACTACCATCAGATCGGACAGCAAATCGGCCATAGCATTGGCGAAAAACGACAACTGGCACGGACGTACAAAGCACATGGACATCAAATACCATTGGGTGCGTGAACAGCTGGAGAAAAAGGCATTTACCTTTGAGTTCGTACGGACAGAAGATCAAGCAGCCGATTTCCTTACGAAGGTCCTTCCGAAGGCTAATTTCGAGCGCTGCAAGTATCTCGTCGGGATGCGGAACCTGCAGGACTTACAGGGGAGCAAGGTGCAAGAACAGTGATGAAGATTTTCAGATCTAGGGTTAGCAGCAGCAAACCACAGGGGAGATTGTTAGAAGTGGTTTCGCCGCTGCACCGACTTCAAGAGCGAAAAAACGACAAACGGGACGGCTGGAAAATGCCTTACCTATGGTGGTGGTGGGAAGGAATAGGGTGGACATTGAGTTTCTGACGGTGGGAGGAGTTTGGTGAGAGATCGTGAGGAAGAGCTGGTGAAAACGAGGGTTTCAGGATGAAGAGAAGGGAGAACGTTCTGGACCGCCAGCATTTTTCCCAACCTTTCTGGAGGCGGTGTTCGGTGGAGTTGGAGAAAGTCGGTTTCACCGACGGTTCAGTTTGAATTACGGTTTTCAACGTCGGTTACTGTTACGAATTTCGGATTCGCGACGAGGCGCGTTACGCGAGGCGCACTTTGAAATTCGGATTTCGGATTGCTTAAAACCCGCAGCCTGAATTACAAACCGCGTGGGAGGTGTTAACACCTTGGGAGCCGAACCTCAGGTTTGCTTTCTTCCCAACCATGGGAGGGCCAACACTTACCAGACCCAAACCTCTCTGGTTACCATGTGTCACTCGCACAAAGTACTGAGGTCGTAGGCAACACAGGTTTGGATCGCGAGGGTCTGGGCAACCCAACCTGGGAGACTTTTGCCCCAAGTGTGCACACCTTTCTGAAAGTTGTAATTCGGGTCGACCAACTTCGCATAGTTCCTAGCGGACTGGTAGTGACGCGCATAGCTTAGAAGCTAGACACCTCACATGTCACCACCTGTCATCGTTTTTCCGCGACATTTGCTTCCACCATTCTTCGCTCCCTCTATTCCTCCCGGAGTTACGATCCGTCGCCGTAGCGTTCCGATAGTCTGAGTCGAACTTTTGGGCCGCGTCGCGGGCCACGCCCACCCCGTAGCTTAGGGTCACCGCCCTCTGCGACGAAATCGCTTCTGGTCGTAGCTGCGCCGTCCTCTCAGCCCACACCATCGCGTTTTGCGTCGCTGAGTTCTGTCCAATTTACAAAGCGGCATCGCTGCCAAACTGCATCGTCCGCACTCACTCCCCTTCCGTCGCAAACGCGAAGTCCCTCCCGTCGCCCACGCGGAGTCCCCTAGAACAAGCGCGCTCACACCCCTCCGTCGCCCACGCTCACTCCCTCCCGTCGCCCACGCTCACTCCCTCCCGTCGCCCACTCTCACTCCCGCCCGTCGCCCACGCTCCCTCCCTTCCCGTCGCCCACGCTCCCTCCCTTCCCGTCGATCCCTCCCTTCCCGTCGCCCACGCTCCCTCCCTTCCCGTCGCCCACTCTCCCTCCCTTCCCGTCGCCCACGCTCCCTCCTTCCCGTCGCCCACGCTCCCTCCCTTCCCTTCGCCCACGCTCCCTCCCTTCCCGTCGCCCACGCCTCCTCCCGTCCCGTCGCCCACGCTCCCCCCCTTCCCGTCGCCCACTCTCACTCCCTCCCGTCGCCCACACTCCCTCCCTTCCCGCCGCCCACGCTCCCTCCCTTCCCGTCGCCCACGCTCCCTCCCTTCCCGTCGCCCACGCTCCCTCCTTCCCGTCGCCCACGCTCCCTCCCTTCCCGTCGCCCACGCTCCCTCCCTTCCCGTCGCCCACGCTCCCTCCTTCCCGTCGCCCACGCTCACTCCCTCCCGTCGCCCACTCTCACTCCCTCCCATCGCCCACGCTTCCTCCCTTCCCGTCGCCCACGCTCCCTCCCCATCCCTCACCTCCCCATCCCTGCTGCGGTTGCTGTAAACGATGCGGAAACCCGCCCTGTGTCCCCCTCCCTGCGTCACCATCCCCGCCTCTCCCCCGTCAACCCCACCCCATCCCATGCCACTAGGGACGGGGTGGACGCGGGGCAGAGGAGTGTGGGCGTGCAACCTGCCGCAACACCCCATTCCGCCTCACCCCATTCCGCCCCACCCCATTCCCCCTCACTTCTCTGGTTTTCCTCTCCCTCTCCCCTCCCCTCTCATTCCTTACCCTGCTCTCTCTCCACTCCCTCCTCCCTTTCCACTCGCCCCGCCACTCCTGCCGTGCTTATCCCTCACCCCATTCCGCCTCACCCTATTCCGCCTCACCCCATTCCGCCACACCCCATTCCGCTCCACCCCATTCCGCTCCACCCCATTCTACCCAAGCCCCCTTGTCGCGCACCCTACTTCCCTCCGTCTCCCCATCCCTCCTCTCCCCATCCCTCCTCTCCCCATCCCTCCTCTCCCCATCCCTCCTCTCCCCATCCCTCCGTCTCCCCATCCCTCCTCTCCCCATCCCTCCTCTCCCCATCCCTCCTCTCCCCATCCCTCCTCTCCCCATCCCTCCTCTCCCCATCCCTCCTCTCCCCATCCCTCCTCTCCCCATCCCTCCTCTCCCCATCCCTCCTCTCCCCATCCCTCCTCTCCCCATCCCTCCTCTCCCCATCCCTCCCCTCCCCATCCCTCCTCTCCCCATCCCTCCTCATACCATCCCTCCTCTCCCCGTCCCTCCTCTCCCCGTCCCTCCTCTCCCCCTCCGTCCTCTCCCCATCTCCGCCCCACCCAAGCCCGCTTTCCCCCATCTCCGCCCCACCCAAACCCGCTTTCCCCCATCTCCGCCCCACCCAAGCCCGCTTTCCCCCATCTCCGCCCCACCCAAACCCGCTTTCCCCATCTCCGCCCCACCCAAGCCCGCTTTCCCCCATCTCCGCCCCACCCAAACCCGCTTTCCCCCATCTCCGCCCCACCCAAGCCCGCTTTCCCCCATCTCCGCCCCACCCAAACCCGCTTTCCCCCATCTCCGCCCCACCCAAGCCCGCTTTCCCCCATCTCCGCCCCACCCAAACCCGCTTTCCCCCATCTCCGCCCCACCCAAGCCCGCTTTCCCCCATCTCCGCCCCACCCAAGCCCGCTTTCCCCCATCTCCCCCCCACCCAAGCCCGCTTTCCCCCATCTCCGCCCCACCCAAGCCCGCTTTCCCCCATCTCCGCCCCACCCAAACCCGCTTTCCCCCATCTCCGCCCCACCCAAGCCCGCTTTCCCCCATCTCCGCCCCACCCAAACCCGCTTTCCCCCATCTCCGCCCCACCCAAGCCCGCTTTCCCCCATCTCCGCCCCACCCAAGCCCGCTTTCCCCCATCTCCGCCCCACCCAAGCCCGCTTTCCCCCATCTCCGCCCCACCCAAGCCCGCATTCCCCCATCTCCGCCCCACCCAAACCCGCTTTCCCCATGGGGATGCGAGGCGATGGGAGATGAGGGCAGGGGAGATGAGGGATGGGGAGGGGAGATAAGGCTTGGGGAGGGGAGGCCTGGGGAGATGAGGGACGGGGAGATGAGGCATGGGGAGATGAGGGGGAGGAAACAGGGGAATGAGGGGGAGGAAACAGGGGAAGGAGGGGGAGGAAACAGGGGAAACAGGGGGAGGAAACAGGGGAACCAGGGGGACGAAACAGGGGAATGAGGGGGATGAAACAGGGGCACGAGGGGGAGGAAACAGGGCCACCAGGGGGAGGAAACAGGGGAAATGAGGGGGAGGAAACAGGGGAATCAGGGGGAGGAAACAGGGGACACGGGGGGAGGAAACGGGGGAACGAGGGGTTGGAAACGGGGGAACGAGGGGGAGGAAACAATGAAACGAGGGGGAGGAAACAGGGAAACGAGCCGGAGGAAACAGGGAACACAGGGGGGGGGAAACAGTGAAACCAGGGGAGGAAACAGGGGACACGGGGGGAGGAAACAGGGGACACGGGGGGAGGAAAGACGGAACACAGGGGGAGGAAACAGGGGAACCAGGGGGAAGACAGGGAAACCAGGGGGCAAACGAGGGGAAGCAGGGAAGAAAAAGAGGGGAAGCAGGGGGGGAAAGGTGAGGAAGGCGGGAAAGGCAGGAAATCAAGAGCACATTGTGGGGAGGTGAGGGATGGCGCTGCACCTGGAAATAAACCGCTGCCTTGTCGCCTATAGCTGGCGCATCTGGGAGGAAATGCGACTGAATCGACGGGGTAATGTGGGTGAAGCGAAGGAAAAATGCGGCCCGCGAATCGAAGGGGAAGTGCGGGCGGGTCGACACGGTCCTGCGTGTGACGGGTAGGGGATATTAGCGCTACGGGAATTGCGTCGCCTTCGCGACGAAAATGCTAAATGCGGGCGACGGGAAGTCTAAATGCGGGCGTCGCCGTGTATAGGAACTGCACGCGCTGTAACCCTAAAATTGTGGGCGACGGGGCTTGAACTTTGCGTGCGATGTATAGATTGAACGCGGATGGTATGCCGTCGTTTTGGTCGCGTCGTGGCTTTCATTCCTAGTCGAAGTCACCTGGTGTGAGGTATGTCGAGGTGCCTTTGGTCACTCTCATATAGCACACACAGGCACATTCCCCTCCCGAGTCATTTGCTTGGTGCGACACCAGGTTGTCGCACTTTGTTTTCGCTAGGGTGCAACTTTCGTTAAACTTCCGAACCTGAGATTGCTTGACCCCCAACCCAACCCAAGCCTAGCGTTGACTCGCTTTTGTAATTCAGGCTGCGGGTTTTAAATATCAATTCTGTTTTCCTCATTGTATCACATTTTCATAGTGAAACTTTCTGTTTACAACTTGGGTTGGAAAGCAACCTACTTCTTCAACTTTCAGATCCAATACTTCATCTTTCTTCAACCTGACTGCGACCAAGTCTAAGACCAGCCGTGCATATCACTGCGAACCAGCCGTGCGCACTACCCAATCACACAGCAAACAGCGCGGACAGACCGTCTCGAAGCCGGTACTACCTATGCCGACACCTCGTGTGAGCACTCCTTGTCGCAACCCTCCGCCGCAACCCTCCGCCGCACGCCCAGGCGGCAAAACTCGTCACTTTGATGCATTCGCCCGTATGCGAACTCGTCACTAAAATTACTACCAAAACATAGGCCGCGGTCTGCCGCAAAGAATGCCCTCCAATCCCGGCGCGTCAGCGAGTGCTGTCTGCGACGTACGGTGCATGCGTCCGACACAGGCGAGTATTCAAACCGCACACAACCGCCGCTTTACCATCCTCACACCTGTGCACGCGTATTCCTTACGAGCCAAGGATAGTCGTACTCGCTCAATTAGAGTCGAACCAGGTTCAACTAGAACCAGGGTCGAACCAGGGTCCAACCAGGGTCCCTCATCCTCTCTCAATTAGCCTGGTTTAGATCAGGGTCGAACCAGTTAGATCTAGAACCTAACCACAAGGTTCAAAATTACGGTTTTCGTAAAATACGGTCCGTTTTTTACGGTCGTTTTTTACGGTGATTTTTCAAAAACACGGCCGTTTTTTTGTTAGAGAACTCTGTTCACCAAGGAAAAAAAGAGAAAAACAAGGTCAAAAACATTTTCAATCATGCCAACAAGTGCATACATGCAAGAAGGGGTCCGTCCCCTTCATGCTGCTCCTTTTCGGGTTCAATTTGGTCCCACTAGGTGACCGTTTAGTTAGTTAAACAGGAAACACCTCCTGGAACCGTTTTAACCCGTTTTTTACGATAGTTTTTTACGATACCGTTTTTTACGGTAAATTTTCAAAAAAACGGTCGTTTTTTCGAACACCATGGTTCTGTGCGATGCTCATGTGTATGCTGAGTTCAAGGGGTCCATCAGAGGAATGGACACGGTTGTAAAAAAAAAGAAAAAAAAAAAAAAAAAAAATGCTGCACATGAATGCCTAAAGCACCGCGGGTTCCATGCCATCCTTAACCAGTGGCATGCGTTGTCACTCCTTGCCGTGCCTTGTTTGAGCAGACGCGCCAAGGGTTGGAGTTGCTCTTGTTGCTTCTTGGCAGCCTGGCGTGCATTCTGCCCCCTCGGAGTGCACTGGCAGTGCGAGTGCATCCAACAGACGGTGGGCTGAGCTTCGCTCAGTGTGCACTCTTAGGTTGTGACTCGTGAGGCAGTTAGTTTCCTGCTGGTCAGCACGAGTGTGAACAAAATTGCTCTTTTCAGCGTTGCTTGCAGAATACCTTAACTCGGAAAGTTGCTTTTCTCAACTCACCCCCTACCATCCCCCGCACGTGTGTCCACGCAAATGCTTGAGTCTCACAGTTTACACACAGAAAACACTTTCCTTGCTCTAAGTTCAGCACAACCCTTTATGCACCCACGTCTACTACTACTACGCACAGCCTTGAGTCTCAGACTACTGGCCAGCGAGTGGGGTAACTTCAGCAGCAGCGAGACTTGGGGGCGGCGCCATGTGGACTGCAAGATAATGGAGGGCATTACATGCGATAAGGATGGATTCGTCACCGCCATGTGAGTGTATGGGACTATGTGACGGAAGACGCGTCTAGCGTCTTAGACGGTTGCGTCTAGACGCAGCGTCTAAGACGCTAGACGCATTTCAGGCCAGATTAGACGCATAGTAGACGAAAACCCGGGGCAGGCTTAAAAAACGTCCGGACAGCGAAAAAAAACCGTCTTATAGGGAGTGGAGAGGGCGGGGAGAAGGACATTGCACACATTTTGGCAAAAAGGGTTGAGGGTTTCTGAAGGAGAATTGAGTTAGCGTGTAAACCCCAAGGGTTTATGAAGAAGAATTGAGTTGGACTAGATATGAGGAGCACAGATGAGGTGGTTGTGCTCCTATATGCCTTTGGTGGTGGTCCACAAAGACCTTTGAGGTTGCAATTTGGGTTGGGGGGGTAAACAAAAGTTGGTTGGTTGGGCTGTTTTTCATTGTCGAAATGGGTGGGAGGGGGTTCAAATGTTGCGAAATTGGATTTCGCGTCGAAATCGCGAAATCCAACTTTGGCCGTGCGATTTTTTTTTTCGGGCTGACCGATTTTTTTTTACCCAAGCGTCTAGCGTCTAAACACGTGTCTAGTGTCTAGCGTCTAGACGCTGCGTCTAGACGCTAGACGCAAGACGCGTCTTGCGTCTTCCGTCACATAGGTATGGGACTGCGAGACACACAGAGTAGTAAATCCAGGCACCCCGACCAGGGATATGGATGTCACAGGTGTGATACAACCTTTGTATGTATAGCAGGTGGGTGTGCTGTGCAGCTGTGGCCGTGTGGCAGTGCTTGTGGTGTGCTCACCGTCGCTGCGCAAAGCACCCTCATATATGCTCTGCTGGTGGAATTTGTCACTTAACTCCGAGATTGTCACTTTGTCCAGAGTCCCCTCCCATGGAAGTTTGTGCGAAGGTGCATGCATTATCGGTCACTGCTGATGCGTTGTTGATAAGGCGTTGTTTTCTATATGGTGTTGAGGATGCGTTGTCACATCACACCATCCGATGCATTGTGTACCATGTTGACGGCCATTTGATGCTCCTAACCTTCATTTTTGCTGCAGATTTGTGGTTCTTGAGACGTTTGGAGGTCCAATACCCGCCATAATCAGCAATTTTCAACGTCTCAGAGACTTGTGAGTTCGCCTCCCTTTGCAACCTCTAGGAGTGGGGTGGGGAAGGGGGGACGTGGGAGGGGAGGGGTGAGGAGGGGTGCGCGTAGGAGGGGGGGGTGAGGGGGGGGGGGGAGAGTGACTTTCTGACTGCATCTTGCGTGCATGGCGTTTGTTCATGCTGAGATGGTCTTGTTGCGAGTAGATGACAGACAAGAAGATTTACGAAAAGAAAGATACAAGACTTAGACAGACAGAGAGTCTGTGTAGATAATATTCTTGGTTCATTCCATTGGCACCCCATTACAGAAGCTTAGATATGAGCACCATCGGGTCCGACCTGTAGCTCCCCCGAGGCAAGCCTTTTTGGGCCAACCACACGGCCACACTGTCGGGTCGACCCAGACACTAACCGGTCTGACTTAAACAGTTTCCGTAACTGGAAAACGGCACAGTGACCCAAATTAAACGGATATGATCTCGGTTTGAGTTTGACCCGAACTTTTTTCACTCGCTGTTTTCTCTAGATGCTCTCTTTCCTTTGGGCACCAACGAACTACCATTACGTACCATACCAGCATATAGACATGGGCAAAGAGTCGAGTTTCCAAACTCGACTCGATCGGGGGACTCGGTACTGGTCGAGTGTCGAGTGTGATTACCCTTTGAAAAAGCTCGACCGGGCCGAGTCGAGTTTTACCCGCCGAGTTTTAAAAAAACTCGGTCTAGGCTCGGCCCCCAAGGCGAGTTTTTTCTAGACTCGACGAGTTTTTTGGACTCGACGAGTTTACGAAAAAACTCGTCGCGACATTGGGGTGGCATACAAATTTCGAAATTTGAAATCTGGCGGGTCCATTTTCAGATCGCGATTTCAGTTAGGCCCCTTCCCCAACAAGTCGTCAGTAGTTCCCAGTGCCTAACCAGCCAAAAGCACGGCTGTTATTTTTTCTTAAACTTACGATCGTCATAGGGGCAACGTAGTTCTAGGTTAACGCTTAGTTAGTGACGTGATTTTATTGCATGGCTGGTTTCGATTAGGGTTTGAGGAGGAGGAATTGCTACTATTTATTAATTAAACGGGCGACCTACAGATTTAGCATGGCGAAGTTCAAGCAGCTTACAAGTAAGAACCCCAAGGGCGGAAAAGGGGGGGGTGGGAGGAACCCACCGTGGCGATCATGCGGGAGGGGTGGAGGAGGAGGACCAGGTGGAGACTGCTACCAGGGGTAGTAGATGGCGTGCAATAATGTAGGAACCCTAAACAAAAAACCATGCACAGCTGGAAGCCTCACTTCCAGCTTTTATATGATGTATCCCCTCCCCCCCCTCCCCCCGAGTCGAGTTTTACTAGGCCTCGACCGAGTGTATGAAATGCCCCGGTCGAGTTTTTTAAAACTCGCCCTTAAACAGCCGAGTTTCGAGTCCAGAACCTTGGCAAAAAAACTCGACCGGGTTTCACCCGACTCGAACTCGAACTCGGTCGAGTTTTGGCCCAGGCCGAGTCGAGTTTTACTCGACTCGGTACATTGCACATGTCTACCAGCATACCATAAGCATCAAAGGCTGGTTCAAAATGAGAGGAGGAGCACATGCATAAAGCAACCTAGCAGCATCGATGCAAAGCTCACCTCACACACAGGCCGGTCGAATCTGACCTGTGGAGGTCATATCTGCTACTCTGGTGAGGCCCACTTACGTCTGGTTAAAATAGATGTGTCACAAACGTCTGTCTGTATGTGCTCTTTTTCGTTCTAGGTCACTTCTTTTCTGCCAACTCACGGGCACCATCCCCGATTCCCTGTTCAACTTACCACATCTCGTGAGCCTGTATGTAAGCCTTCCCTTTTGTCACTTAAGAATGAGCAATGCATCTGTCATTTGGAAACGTGCATTTGTTAAGATTGTCTTGCAATACAAGTAGCATTTGCGCTTTGTTGAAATCTCTTGTGTTCCCCTGTTTGTTGCTTCTGATGCCCTTACTTGCTTGCCACATGTGTTCACGCGATCTCATTGGCCAGCCACCTACCCGGTAATCTCCTCTCTGGTACGCTTCCAGAAGGCTTCAGCCGATTGACAAACTTAAAACACCTGTGAGTAGAAAATCGCACAGGTCCTGGAACACACGAACGAGCAGTGGGAGGGAGGGATGATCAATGACAGGGCTTCTGCTTTTTGTGGTCAATGCTGCAAACAAATTTCCCGTAAGTAGTCGTAAAATCAAAGGTCCGCTGTCTGTAGGGGATATAGCGAATGCACAAGCCACCGTTTCTTTTGACAAGGTGGCCCAAGGCGGGCCAGAGCCCTGGGCCGGAGTGAACCTCTTGTGGGGTGCATGACATGCAATCAGCATAACACAGTCAAACAGTTTCAGGGAGGACTCGGAACCCAGTTGTTCCAGCCGCTGACTCAAGCCGATACCAAGCGGCTTCATCGTGCATATTTTGTGGTTTCGGTTGGCTCCTGGCTTGGCCTGTCCACAATAGTTGGGCTGGTCATGTGGCCTGTACGATACACACACCGAGTGCTGCCAAATATGGCCCACACGACCTGGGTCATGTGGATCTCCAGAAAACCCCGAGATGGTTTGTTCCGATGTGATTTAGCCTGCGAGGATCGAACCGGTTTGTTTGGCCTGGGTCAAACTAGTGGGCCGGGTACACAGATTTGGTTGGTGAAGGAAAACAGTTCTATTTTTTAAAGAAGCTGTCTTTTTTGTGCTGCAGTGCGGGTTGAGCATTAAAAATGAGAACATGTAATCACCTTTAATCTTCTTCTGCTAATTCAATCTGTCTCTCCCTTTCCATCCCACTCCATGCCTGCCTATGATACCAGGACTCTTAGTTTCAATCAACTTTCTGGGCCAATAGACATCCTTTGCAACCTGCGACAGCTCGAATATATGTAAGGATTCTACGCCTTTGTTAGCAACCTTGGCTAAAAAATGTTTGTGTTTGCCAAACCAAGCCTGACCGACGAACACAAATTTGTTCGTTGGAAATGCCGGCGAGGTCGGCGAGGGACACTAGTTGAGCTTTGTAACACACTAGTCTCCCAAGCATACCTAATGAAATTAAATACACAAAATAGTTCAGCGGAACTTTTTTCAACACGATGTGTTGTTTGGTGTTTCATTTCCTTCACTCCGAAACGTCCACCAGGTATAGTCACACCACCCTGAACGCCAAAATCCACCATCCAGGATCATGTGACTACAACGAAGGCTGCTGATATGGCAAACACGAACATGTTCGCCCCAAACAGTATTCCAATCCACAGCAATTGTAGAACCCTTTCAAATGTAGCTGTCTGTCTCTTTCTGTTCCCCCTAACAATGACAGCTTACCCACCCCTCCCTGTACATCTCTCAGGAGCCTTGTTGAGACCCTGTTTGGCGGTTTCCTACCTGAACAACTGAGCAACCTCATCAACCTTCGTAGCATGTAAGTCATGCGTTGCTGCTGCTAGTATCCTTGCAGCTTCATTTTCAAGCAGCTATATTTATCTGCAAAGGGAAGTTTCAAATGTTTTGAACTCTGAAAAGTTGGCTACCCTGTGACAACTCAAAGCCATGCGACCCTCACTGGTGGGTCAAACCTTTAAAACAGCTGGGAGTTCACTCAACGCTGTAATTTTGAGAAAAATGCGTTGCTCACCGCACCCATCCAAAGCAGCCTGGATAGGTAAGCGTGTCGCACACCCCAAAGTGGCTTCACAAAGAAATCATATTCACGATGAAGACGCGAGACGAGTAGGTGACACTGTTGCGCCAACAACATCTCACCCTCCCCATCACTCGGAGATATCACTCTTGCCAAATGGAATGGAAAACGGCACTAGATGCGCCGACTTTTGAGGTGCCTCAAAAGTGCACTCCTTCCAAATGGAAAACGGCACTGTATGCGCTGACCCTCCTTCAATTACGGCACTAGAGGGCGGGCAGAGGGTGGGTGCATGGGGACCGGGCAGAAAGGGTGGGCGAGCCCAGATCTGCCCATTCCGAAGCTACCTTGCTTGCTGTGAACATGCTGGAAAGCTGAACAGAAGCTCAAGGCTACTCCATCACTACTGGGCCTGAGCTGGTTCATCGTGGGCCTACCAGATAGAAACATTCGGTCCGCTTCTTCCCCTTTGAATCGTTCCCATATGAGCCAGGTCAGGTGTGGCTCTTTGATCCCGGCCCTAAATGATGTAAGCTATGCTCATCACTATGTCTTGTGATTCACACCACAATGTTTTACCACAATGTTTTACCACAATGGTAATTACCCAACAGAACCGCCTTCTCATCCTATTCCAAATGCAGGGACCTTTTGAAGAACCACTTTAATGGAAGCATCCCGGCGTCCATCAGCAACATGGCTTCCTTGGAACGATTGTATGATAGCAACACTGCTTCTATGAATGTGTTCAACAGAACACGTTGTCACAGCTTGACATGCTTTTGGAGTGTGTGTGTATGTGTGCAAGAAGTCCGTTTGCAGCTTGCTGCTTTTAAGAAGATGTCAACAATGCAAGTTTCCTCCCATACTCATGCATTTATCGACAATGTTCACGCGTCATCATGCATGCTGCTAAGGCTCACTTTCTGTTCTGAACTGCAGAGTTCTGGATTACAACCAGGTCACTGGCACCATTCCGGACTCCTTCAGTCGCATGCAGCGTCTTGCACACCTGTGAGTAAGCATGACCAGGGCCGGGCAATGGTGGGCTTCTGATCCGACTTGGACGGACTGCCTTTGCATGCCTCGTCGTCACAGGAAGAAAAACGGCATGGCTCCTGATGTACTGCATGGTGGGCATGAGCATTCAACCCGGATTGCAGGGGCAGGTCGGACGGTTGACAAACGCACTGCTCCGGAAGTAACAAGTCGATTATATCTGCTTCGGTTCGACTCATGAACCATCACGGGTACAGAAAATCGAGGGATCCGTCTGCATAGGTCGGATCAATCCCCTCCAATATGTGCAGATCGGCCGAGAAACCACGATCCGCATGGTTCAGCGGTTGTGTTCGCCGATTTCCAGATTGGCGGTTGAAAAATGCCGATTCGCCCTGATCGGCAGTCAAGCTCGCATACAGGTGTAAATTGGCAACTAGGTTCGCCGATTAGCAACATGGGTGGTTAAGTCGTGCTCATCTGAGACGACTTGTGCAGATCGGTGGTTGAAATCGCGGATTTGCGTGAACCGGCAGACGAAATTGCCAATCCGAGCAGATACTGGCTAGTATATTGGCGGGTAGGTTGACCAGAGCCGCCATCGGGTCGACCACAGGGGTGCCCTATGAATGACATCAGTCCAATAATACGACTGAAATCCGTCTTTTATTTTTTTGGTTCTATTAATTCCCTAGGCTTAACAAGATCTTGCCATGTCAACAAAAATTCGTGACCAGAAGTTTCAAAACGAAATTATTCGTGCCCAGAACTTTCAACCTTCGCATGTTTTCCCCAGCACAGCTGCTGCGACTCTCTTTATGTGCAATCTTTTGACTCTCTTCTCGTCCATTCCATCTACTTTTCCATCCCTGCATGTGTGTGTGTGTGAAATTCTATCCTGCATCAGCTCACTTGCAGAGAACCAGCTGACAGGATCCATCCCTGAGTCACTCTCAGCCCTTTGTGCTTTGACTGACTTGTAAGTTTCTCTCCCCGGTACCATTGATTCTCTCACCTATCTCACAACAAACGCCTGCAACAGGTTCGGCTCGGCCTACGACGACCAGCCTGGGTTCGACACAGGTGAAATGGGCTAGGCTGTGCAGGGTTGAGGCTTGGCTCGATGCAAGAACCTACCACTTACCGACAGGGTCCCATGCACGCGGCCCGAGCCACAGGTTTTCAAACCCCCTTATTCAGCTTTTTTTTCAGGCCTTTGACCTATTGCTAGGAGCTTTTCTGTTCCGCATTCTTCTTAGAGGTGTCTGTACAACATTGTTAACGGGCAAGATATCTAGCAGGGTAGTGCACATGATGAGCAGATCATGTTGGTTACAAGTTCTTTAGTCATTTTCACTTATCTTGATTGAGGAACAAGGCGAATCAAGTGCTGCCTTATTTGAGAGCTATACTTCCCTTGCCCTGCCTCATTATTCATCCGGAGTGTCGAGTCGAGTAAGAAAATACTCGGCACGGGTATTTATTGACTCGCTCTGGGCCGAGAATTGCTTGCAGTCCCCACCCTCCGACCTACCCACCAGCCTCCTGTTTCCCCTTCCCACGCACGCCATTGTTTGGAACCCCCACCCCTAGAAGAGCACTGGAAACACGTCTAGAGCGTTATGTATGGTATAAGTTAATGTCTCTACATTTGGCTGCATGTAGGGCGGGCAATAGAATAACGCCTCTCTGATCAGGCTTATTTTTTGTACGGACAAAACATCAGATCTTTTTATAGTATTTTAAATAAAATTAGGAAGGATGTTGTGGCTCTCTGGGCTATTGGAACTACAGTGCCAAGAATCAATCGAGATTAAGGCTGCTGGAGTTGCCTCCTGTACGTAGTATGTAGTGGAGTTATCCCTCCTATTGGTAGAGAGTTTTAGGCAATGACATGGAGATTCAACTTGACAGAGATTGGTTGGGTGGGTGGAGTTTGATCTTGCGACTGCTGTTAAGTGCAAAGCGCATGGTGCATGCATGGATGGGCTGCCTGGTACCCCTCCCTAGGCGGTTATACAGCAACCATCTGACTGGGTCCATTCCAGCATCTCTAGCATCATTGAAGAATTTAAAATCCCTGTAAGTTTCCAAGCTCATCGGCGTTTACCTAATGCATCCCACATGTTATCTTTCATAGGCTCGAGGGTCAAAGTAGCCTATCCGTGCCAGCGATCCATCATACAGTAGAAAAAAATGGTGGATCGCTCGACCTGATTCGTCATTGGGTCAACCCGACCCACCCTTCGGTCACACCCGGCCCGCCCCTATGAGCCCGGCCCGGGTCGGGTCGGCTTCCCAGGGAATTTTACCCGATTTTGGGTCAACCCGACCCATCTCCTGCTCGGGTCGAGCAAAGCGGGTCGGGTTGGGATGGGTAGACCCGTTGCTCATGCCTAGTGACCCGTCCTTGGCCTTTTTACAAACCATGCGTGTTTCTATGCAAACTGTGCTCATCATGTTGCTCACAGCACTGCACCCTGCTCATGTCAGATGGCTCAACTGGAACCACCTCTCAGGAAGCATACCTGCTGCAATAGGCGACCTCGTGCAGATAGAACACTTGTAAGGCATCATTCAACTCTGGTTGGTCGGTTATTCTAACGTTGTGAAGCAAAATTCTGTCCAGCCATCTGTTCCAAGCTATAACGCAGTTGTGTACTTGGAAGGGGGTAATGATACGCCATATTTCTGTGTACGTAGAAACCTATCTTCCGTGGTCGTAGTTGCAAGTAGGCAAATGTTGCCTTGGCAGCAATTAGACGGCTCCTCCTCTTCTTTGTCCTCCTCCCCCAACTCCTCCTCCTCCTCCTCCTCCTCCTCCTCCTCCTCCTCCTCCTCCTCCTCCTCCTCCTCCTCCTCCTCCTCCTCCTCCTCCTCCTCCTCCTCCTCCTCCTCCTCCTCCTCCTCCTCCTCCTTCTCCTCCTTCTCCCCCTCCCCCTCCCCCTCCTCCTACTCCTCTACTACACCTACTTCTACTACATGTACCATCACTGGGATCCCGAGTTGCAAGGTGTCTTAGACCTTGGCATGTGCATTCGACCTGACCTGGATGTTTGCATGGGACGGATGATAAGGATCATAAGGGTTGACGGTGCGTAACGAGTAACAGAGATCCGTGGGGATGGGACGACCCAACGGAACTCAAGTCAATCTCGTTAATCTGCACAGGCTGGTGGTCAAGACCGCCTATCCACTCAGGTCGTCAACCAAAATGCGTCAGCCGACTTGTGTGGATAGGTGGTAGAAAATTGAGCTCCGATCCGCACTGACCCGTGGTCTACATGTGCGGATCTGTGCCAATCGGTGGTGGAGGAGACCACTGATCTTTGTGGATCGGTGGGCAAATATTGGTCCGAGCTCATGGTAAGTAAAACTGGATGCCATCGAGACGACCCACCCCGCCCTCAGGTCACACCCGACTCAACGCCTATTAGCCCTCATGGGGTCTTCGTGTTCGCCCCTGCACGAACACAGCCGTTCACTGAACCGAACACTGTTCGGTTCCGCGGACACCTTTTGCGAAAACAGATGCTCGGTGTTCGCCTGCGAAGGCGTGTTCGGGCGAACCTCAAACACGTTCGTGTTCGACGCGGGGCAAATTGCAGCAGCGGCCCGAACACGAACGTGTTCGGGCGAACCTCGAACACGGTTGTCACAAACACTTTAAGCTAAAAACCAAACCTGTTCGGTTCGCCTCAAACACGTTCGAGACGAACCGAACAGGTGTTCGTTTCTTTGCTACTTTGGCCTGGCCCGGCCCGGCAGTGGAGAGATTCAAGGCAGTGAACCCATCTAGGCATGAGCATGGGGCCTGCTCGTGTCGGGCCGGCCCGACCGGACCCGTGGTTTTTGCCCGGGTCGGGTCAGGATTTCCATCAGCCTGCCCCGTGCGGGCTGACCCGACCCGACGCGGGCGAAAACCCGACCCGAGCATTTGAACTCGGGCTGAGTCGGGTCAAGTTTGGGGTCAGGCTTGACCCGATCCGACTCGATTTGGGTCAAAAACGTCGAAATCAGGTCGGGTCAGGCGCGCAACTCGACGCGTCGATATTCTCCCCCTCGACATCACTTCACCTAAAATACCTAACTACTTAGTTTACAGGCCGAAATCACAAAGGCTGTAATTTCTTGCTAGATTAACGTAGCTTTGCCTGTACATTAGGTTGTTCGCGCTGCTGGATAGCCCAGTATTTCAGTCCGCGTTTCCTTAGCGCGAAATCATTTTTCTGCAAGCAAGACACGTCTTAGGGCCTCGAGCGTTAGTAGGTTCGTTTAGCGCCAACCATGCATCACATATATTAAACACCCCTGCCCCCTCAAAAGGGCCGGGTCAGCCTGGCCCGACCCGACCCGACCCGACCCGGGGCCGGGTCAACGCTGACCCGGGTGTGTAGACCCGGGTCGGGTCAGAGCCTCCAGCAGCTTGGCCCGAGTCCAGCCCGCCCCGACCCGGGAACCCGAGGTGATCTGAAATAGGCTTAAGGGCTTAGGGGCTTAAGGGCTTAGGCTTTAGGGCTTTAAGACATGTAAATTAGGAAGAAACGCCGAGGATCTCGCTCTAGATACCATGTTAAGGGTAGGTTTGAAGGAGCCATGGCTGTCGTGAGAGAACATGGCAAGAGAAAATTTGTACTAGCAAAGTATCGAGATACAATTGAAAGAAGGAAATCCTAATTGAACTTAGGGCGTGTTCAGTTTATGCAGAAAGCTACGAAGTGAACCTAAACTGGACCCTACAGTGTAACTCGCTCTAAACATGACGAAATAACGAGAGAACAGCATAGCAAATGCTCGAGCAAGCTCTAGCCTGCTCCAACAACCCAATGATGCCATCGTCAACGTAACAAATTTCTTGCTAAAGATGGTTAGCATGTTTTGCAACATGCATTCACGGCTGTGGACGACCTGCTTGTTGCAATCTTTTCAGCTGCTTGTGTTGTCTCATTTCTTGCTCCCTCCATTCACTGCTACGTCGGATATCTTCACGACCTTCTGTCCTAATTAATGCAGGGGTCTTTCATCTATTGAAGTGTCTGGCTCCATACCAACAGCCATTTGGAGGCTCACCAACCTCGTCATGATGTATGTGTGCAACCAGCAAACCATGAGCTGCTACATCAGTCTTTTTGAAGCCATGTGCCATATCGCAGTGCATGGTGTCACCATTATGAGCATGTCTGGGCAGGTCCTTAGCAGACAATATGCTGTACGGGACCGTTCCAAGCAACCTCAGCAAGCTATCCAAGCTTCAATACCTGTAACTACATTTACAAGTGATCATCCTTTTTTATTTCAATGGTGCAAACCAGTACGGCTCACTGTCCCGCCGTTATTCCATTTCTGACCGTATTTACATTTACTCCAAAAGCACTCAGTCCAACTGCTATTGATCTCATTCCTCGACCTTAGTTGTGGAGAGGATTGTCAGAATGCGATAAGAGAAACGCTAATCTACGGTAACATGCATTATTGCATGGCATTGTACTGGTACCACGACTTAAATATACAGAAATATGAACCCAACCTCCTCGTTCTCGTGTGCTTCTCCCCCTGTATGCATGTGTGTGTTTCTTCTTGTGTGCTGCTCAGGCAACTCAGGGACAACCAGCTCTCGGGGCCGATTGACATGGTCGTACAGACCATGACGAATCTTATCCAGCTGTGGGTATCGCCAGAGATTACCGAGCCTTCTTTTGGGTTGGCTTGTTCATGACAGAGGAGTAGACATGATCCGACAGAGGAGTAGACATGATCCGACAGAGGAGTAGACATGATCCGACAGAGGAGTAGACATGATCCGACAGAGGAGTAGACATGATCCGACAGAGGAGTAGACATGATCCGACAGAGGAGTAGACATGATCCGACAGAGGAGTAGACATGATCCGACAGAGGAGTAGACATGATCCGACAGAGGAGTAGACATGATCCGACAGAGGAGTAGACATGATCCGACAGAGGAGTAGACATGATCCGACAGAGGAATAGACATGATCCGACAGAGGAGTAGACATGATCCGACAGAGGAGTAGTTGATACGATGGTAACAAATGCTTCATTGATCAACCGAAGTCTCATGCACATTTCACTTTTTTTTTTTCGTATTCCACCACAAAATAGGTGTATATTGTTGTGTCATTATTGTTGCCCACCCTAGCATCTATTTCGTGGTTTCAATGTACACCATCCCTTTTTCGGTTTATCATGGTAGGGGCTGTGGAATATGTTCAAAATCATGGGAACTAAGACACAACGAAACTATCCCTTTCCATATCTCCTCCTCCACCTCCTCCTCCTCCTCCTCCTCCTCCTCCTCCTCCTCCTCCTCCTCCTCCTCCTCCTCCTCCTCCTCCTCCTCCTCCTCCTCCTCCTCCTCCTCCTCCTCCTCCTCCTCCTCCTCCTCCTCCTACTTCTCCTCCTACTTCTCCTCCTCGTCCTCCTCCTCCTCCTCCTCCTCCTCCTCCTCCTCCTCCTCCTCCTCCTCCTCCTCCTCCTCCTCCTCCTCCTCCTCCTCCTCCTCCTCCTCCTCCTCCTCCTCCTCCTCCCCCTCCTCCCCCTCCTGTCCCTCCACCACTCCTGTTCTCCTCCGCCTCCTCACCCTAATCGGCTTAACACGATCCTCCGCATCTTCCTCTCCACTTCTTCCACCACTAACATGCCCTCCAGCCTCGTGCTGGTAATCCAACTGCATCATCCCCAGTCTCTTTCACTCCACCCTCAGCCACAGCTGTTGCTGGTAGTGGAAAGGAGACGACCTGCTACTCCGGCCTCTCCCCCTTTCATCTGCACCCGTAACAGCAGCTATGGTTGCTAATTTGAACTCGGTTTTTGGGGTTTTCTTTTGTCAGCCGCCTAAGAGCATTGTTGAGCTTATAAGCTAATTCCTCACCCTTCTGCACGACCTCCTTCCTGCCCCCTTCCCTCTCACCATTGCAGAAGCCTCAGCGGTAACCGGTTCTCTGGGCGTCTTCCCAGCCCTGCCTCTCCGTTTATCGAGAAGTACACAGTGAACAACAACTTCTTCTCGCATGGCCAGGTCAAGTTTACCAACTGCTCAGCTGTCACATGGAGTGTCGATGCCAACTGCCTCTCCAGCGACCTTCGCATCTGTGGCCTTCGTCACGCCCCGAACCTCAATTCAACCTGTGCTGCGTTCTGTGGGGTGGCGATCGGTGCTGTTGCCCCTGTGTGTGGGGGGCGTGGCTACTGCTCTGTGAATGAGTTCACTGCAATCGGAGAGTGTTTCTGCGATCCCAACTACATGCTCAATAGTACCAACACCAACGATTGTGTGCCTGGAGGTGCGCTTTCATGTCAAATCTCTAATCAATTTATACATGGATGCTGCTTCTAGATAGATTGGACAGCAGCACCACATTCATTATAAGAATGCATCTGCACTGCTCTGTGTGTGCCTTCCTTAGCAGCCGTGGGAGCATCACTGGCATCGGGCTCGGCCTATGTGTCGCTGCAGGGGTCAGCTGCTGTGCTTTCCAACGGCTCCATTCTTCTCACAGGAGGGGGGCCCAACCAGCAGGGAGCAGCGTTTGCCTCTCCCGCGCTGCGCCTCTTCTACTTCCCCAACAAGCGCTCCCTCTGCGGGATTGAGCTCGCATTCACCGCTGCCTTCAGCTTTGTTATGAGTCCAGCGAGCCAGGGGGGGGATGGAGAGGGCCAGGCCTCAGGTGGGGAGGGCCTTGCGTTTGTGGTGGCAGCAGCTGCTGCTGGCAAGGGGGCGAGTGTGGGGCTGGGAGGGGTGGGGAAGCGGAGTGTGGCGGTGGAGTTTGACTCGGTGCTGAGTGTGAAGCACAGCGACCCCAACGACAACCACGTGGGCGTCAATGTGGGCGGCTCACCTGTGTCCCTCGCCTCTGCCACGGCCCCTCTCATCCTCAACGACGCCCACACCAAGCACGCCTGGATCCACTACGACCCCACCAGCGCCGGCACCCTCCGAGTCTTCCTCTCCTCCGACCCCCAGCAGCCCCTCGGCCCCACCCTCACAGCAAGCGTGTCTCTCTGCTCCGCGCTCAAGCCCACTGCATCCGACTCCCTCTTCCTCTTCGGCTTTGTTGCTCTTTCGAACAACTGGCCACAAACGCATGTCATTCTGACCTGGGACTTCAAGACAGGTATGCTGGCGCATGCTTCTTTGTTCAGATTTTTATTTCATTGGTGGTGCCCTGGTTGACCCCATCTACGGTAATATGTCACATGTTGGCTCTGTTTCTCGCAGTCGCAATGTGACGCCTCCCATGATTTCACGACAGAATAGATGTACTTCTGTGAGTCTCAACCTGAAAACGGTCTTGCTTAGATCATGCAGTGAACGTGCATGGGTTTCCAGAGTGCCCAGTTCGACTACTTGTTATCCCCGAGTTCTGTAAGAGGGGCGGCTGGAACTAGCATGCTGATATAGGTTTATGAATTTGCAGCAACATGATATCACACATTGTTTTGACATGCCATAGGTCAGCTACAGCAACCCTTTCTACATGTTGGACCACCTCTATCAAAACTACCGTACGGTTCGAGAGAAAGGGCTCTTGATCTTCTACAATCATGAGAACGAATTGGGGTGGGCAACAAACATGACACATCTTTCGTTAGACCTCTTAACGTTTTTTATGCTACCCAACTGATGGCAAGGCTCAGAAGACGCTCGGTCTGAAATGTGGGTGTAATCTGGTTGTAATCTTGACATAGTGCAACAATCTAGAGCTGGCTGGCAGAGAAGGGAGCGGAGTTGCCACAATGCATTGTCACCTGTCAAGAACTGAATGATGCTTGACTAAGGTTGGTTGGGGTACATAAACCTAACCCTAACTGCTGTACCCCATATGACACACATCACTAAAGGCTACAACATTTGACACACCCCCATAGCCTAAGTGAGGGGAGTCAAGCAAAACCAAAACCGTAAGATCACAAGACCAGTCACAAAACAACAAAGCTCAGGGTGGATCACAACGTTACCACACAGTCTGAGCACTCGCAAAAGGGCCACAAGTGTCAAACATATATGCTGCATATATGGGGTACAACCCAATTAGGGTTTAGTACTTGTACTCCTGCATGCTGCTAGTTCATTCATTCCTGCTGCTAGATTCTGACATGGTTTCAGAGCACTAAGGTCCGTAGGACCGTTTTTTTTTTCCGGGCCCACCTACCGCTGCGGTTACCGCACTACCCCACGCGCCTGCCTTGCCTTGCCTTGTGACGTGCTGCACTATGTGCGCCGTCCAGCAGCCCTAGCGCTGCCTCCTGCTGCCCTAGGCCAGCGCGCTGCCCCTAGAGGCCCGTAAGGCCCACGCGCCGCCCCTAGAGGCCCGTAAGGCCCGCGCAGCCCGCTGCAGCCGCGCGCAGCCCGCACAGAGCCCGCACAGCCCGCGCCGAGCCGCGCGCAGCCCGCTGCAGCCGCGCGCAGCCCGCACAGAGCCCACGCAGCCCGCGCGGCTGACGAAGTTGGGGGTGCGGGCGCTGAGGGTTCTGAGTCTGCTGTTGCGCGGTCTCCTTGGAGTAGCCGCCTTCGTCCACGTGTGCCTCTCACCCCACAGCAGCTGCAGGACTGGTACGGTCGCCGTCAGCGTCGCGCTGCTGGAGCTAGGAGTGGTGCTGGTCCTTTGTCTACTGGAGGTGCTGGAGTCGCTGGCTCTGGGGGTGCTGCTGCTGGAGACACTGAGGCTGGAGACCCTGGGACTGGAGGTGCTGGTTCTGGGGGTGCTGCTGCTGGAGACACAGAGGTTGGAGACCCTGGGACTGGAGGTGCTGGTTCTGGGGGTGCTGCTGCTGGAGACACTGCGGTTGGAGACCCTGGGACTGGAGGTGTCGGCTCTGGGACTGGAGCTTCTGGAGCTGCTGGAGGTACTGGAGCTGCTGGAGGTACTGGAGCTGCTGGAGGCACTGGAGCTGCTGGAGCTGCCGGTACTGGTGCAGCTGCGCCGACACGACTGTTCTTCGCTCCGCCATCTCCGTCGTCTCTGCCGCCGTCTGACTCTGTTCTTCGTCAGGTTCTTACTCTCCCGTCGTCTACTAGTCTTCCGTTACAGCCTGGCTCACCGCTGCCTGCTCCTTCTCCTTACACTGAGCAGACAGGTAGTCTTGCTGAGTGTCGTGAGCCTGCGTCGCGTCCTGTCTCGCCTGTTCGTCCTGGTCGTCCCGGTCGTCATGTTCCTCGTTCGCGTCAGCCGGCTGTCCCCGGCGCACACCTCGTAGTCCGTCGTCCTTCCTCTGCTCCGCCGCCTGTTCCTCTGCCGTCTCCTCCTGCGTCCTCTCTGCCTGACGTTCCGGACCCTGAGTCTGACCGGTTTCGTACTGAGCACCCTACTGTCACGCGTCTGTTAGCCACTGTTGTCACTGACCCGTCGTTTGAGTCTACTGCTGCGTCTGCCTTGGTTGCTGAGCTTGTTGACTTTGCTGCTGCCTATCGTCTAGACTACGCCGCTAGTCTTGTTGCTGAGTCTGAGTCTGTCTGTCCTCCGTCCGTCGGGGGTGAGTGTGCTCTTAGCACGGACGTCCTTGAGGACAGGCACGAGGACCTTGAGTGTCTTGCAGCCGCTGCGCCTCATCTCGTGGCCATGCTGCTTGCCCCTGAGGGAGACCCGAATGCACCAGACATCCCGACCCCGCGCACTTACGCTGAGGCGATCGCGAGTGAGTACTCCTCTCAGTGGCAGACAGCCATGGACGCAGAGATGGCATCCTGGAAGTCCACTGGCACTTACGTCGACGAGGTTCCCCCTCCTGGGGCGAACATCGTCAGTGGCATGTGGATTTTCAGGGTGAAGCGGCCGTCAGGTTCTCCGCCTGTCTTCAAGGCTCGTTACGTTGCTCGAGGCTTCAGTCAGCGAGAGGGAGTAGACTTCTTCCAGACCTTCTCCCCCACCCCGAAGATGACCACTCTTCGGGTGCTGCTGCACGTTGCTGCTCACCGTGACTACGAGCTTCACTCTCTTGACTTCAGCACAGCGTTCTTGCAGGGCAGCCTGCACGAGGAGATCTGGCTGCGCCGCCCCCCGGGCTTCACTGGGTCGTTCCCTCCTGGTACCCAGTGGAGCCTCCGGCGGCCGGTCTACGGTCTCCGCCAGGCGCCACGGGAGTGGCACGACACACTGAGGACTACGCTTGCGGCTCTTGGGTTCGCGCCGTCTACTGCTGACCCGTCGCTGTTTCTGCGCACCGACACTTCACTGCCGCCGTTCTACATTCTCGTGTACGTCGACGACTTGGTTTTTGCCACTGCTGACACTGAGGCTCTCGCCCACGTGAAGTCGGAGCTGCAGAAGAGACACATGTGCACAGACTTGGGTGAGCTGCGCAGCTACCTTGGCTTGCAGATCACCCGGGACAGAGCACGCCGCACCATCACCTTGACCCAGTCACACATGGTGCAGCAGGTCCTTCAGCGCTTCGGCTTCACCTGGTCTTCAGCACAGGCCACTCCTCTGGCTACAGGTCACACGCTCTCAGCTCCACCTTCGGACGAGTCCGTAGAGCCGAGTGGTCCTTACCCAGAGCTAGTCGGCTGCCTCATGTACCTGATGACTTGCACTCGACCTGACCTCGCGTACCCTCTTGGTCTTCTGGCTCGCTACGTGGCTCCTGGTCGGCACCGACCTGAGCACATGGCTGCTGCTAAGAGGGTACTGCGCTACTTGTGCAGCACATCAGGCATGGGGCTAGTGCTTGGAGGGACGAGCCCAGTTGTCCTCACTGGGCACTCAGACGCTTCTTGGGTTGACGACCTGGCTACTCAGCGGTCGTCACAGGGTTACACCTTCAGCCTTGGCTCTGGTTCAGTTTCGTGGCGTTCTACACGCTCGTCTTCAGTTCTCAGCTCCAGTTGTGAGGCTGAGATCTACGCCACAGCCATGGCTGCACAGGAGTTACGCTGGCTCACCTACCTGCTGACTGACTTGGGAGAGCGGCCTCGTTCTCCTCCAATGCTGTACGTCGACAACAAGGCCGCCATTGCCTTGTGTGAGGAGCACAGACTGGAGCACAGAACGAAGCACATTGCTCTGCGTTACTTCCTGGCTCGAGAGTTGCAGCAGCGAGGCCAGCTTCGTCTTCGTCACGTGGCCACTCGGGCCAACACTGCTGATATATTTACCAAGGCACTTCTGTCTGGTGATCATCAGCGCTTTTGTACCCTGTTAGGCCTTGTGCCTACGTTTCCACACTTGCTGTAGTCTCTGCTTGTACTGTTATTGTTGCATATATATCCTTGCATGTGGACTGGCCTTGTGGCCCTTTGCTTGTGCTCAGAATGTGTGGTGACGTTGAGATCCACCCTGAGCTTGCTTTGCTTCTCTTGACTGGTCGTTTGACCCCTTGTTCTCCCCCACTTTGCCTATGGGGGTGTGTCAAACATATATGCTGCATATTGTCTAGGCTGTAGTGGGGTAGCCCATATGGGGTACAGCCCAATTAGGGTTTACTACTTGTACTCCTGCATGCTGCTAGTTCATTCATTCATGCTGCTAGATTCTGACAACAAGGCCAGTTCAAGAGTTCACAGAGGTAGCACAGTGTACAAACAAAGTAAGTAGAGAACCCAAGTCTATGCAATACGAGAACATGTGTCAACGAGACCTAACTGCACACAACACCTCTGATGGTCACAAGTCGGAATGGCCTTGGTGAAGATGTCTGCAGTGTTGGCCTCTGACCAGACTCCCCGACGCATCGCTTAGACTGGTCTACTACATTGGATGCCTCTTCTTTTTTGCTAGTCCACCAGACTAGACTACTCCCCACATCCACAACAAGTGTTTCCATTTCGTTCCATGTGGTTCCCAAGATTTGAGCACCGGAACACTGCGTGGTACGCCCATTATAGGTGTGCATACTGACCAGACTCCCCTACGCATCGCTTTGACTGGTCCATTGCATTGGATGCCTCTTCTTTTCCACCAGATTAGACTACTTCCCACATCCACAACAAGTGTTTCCATTTCGTTCCACGTGGTTCTCAAGATTTGGGTGTCGGAACACTGCGTGGTACGCCCATTATAGGTGCGCATACTGACCAGACTCCCCGACGCATCGCTTTGACTGGTCTACTGCATTGGATGCCTCTTCTTTTGATAGTCCACTAGACTAGAATACTTCTCACATCCACAACAAGTGTTTCCATTTCGTTCCATGTGGTTCTCAAGATTTGAGCGCCTGGAACACTGCGTGGTACGCCCATTATAGGCCACAAAGTCGAAGCGAGCCTGTCCATGCCTCTGCAACTCTCACAG